ACACCCTGGAAACCCAACAGCCACCCTTATATTACACTTTTCACAAGAGACAGCAGTAAACCTGCCATCAAAAGTGGAACTATATGGATATCAAAGACCAGTGATCAGAAAGGCACCTAAGGTCAAAATACAACAATGCAGCAAATGCTGGGGATTTCATCAAGAGAGATACTGCCTCCGCGTCCCTCGCTGCAAAAAATGCAGTTCTAAGAACCATGTGAAAGGAAATCCATCCTGTCATAAGGAGAATGAAGCATGTGGATGCCCCAATCGCTGCACTAACTGTCTTGGACCACATGCCGCGGATGATCCATCCTGCCCCGCCAGACCAGGGATAAAGAATGGGACTGTTCAAAGGCACTCAAGAAACCAGCTGAGGGATATCCGCAATGCACAGAGTAAGGCATACTTGGCCAAGGCAAGTAACAGCAAATGCGGTGGTCGAGGTCCATCAGCAGACCTGAGGTTGAATGACTCTACTGAGTGTAGATCTAACCTCACGCTGACATCAAACACAGCACCAAGCACAGCATTGAGCACAGCATCAGGCACAGCATTAGGCATGGTGTCCAACCCAACACCTAATGCAACACCCAACATGTCACCTCATGCAACAACACCCTCCTTTCAGCTACTCAATGAAGAAGAACTCTAGGTCCCCGCAATTCCTGCAGATTATGCAAGTCAACGTAGGAAAAGGGGGCCCAGCACACGAGACGGCCCTCAATCTAGCGTTTGAAAGAAAGACTGACATCCTTCTCATACAGGAACCCTGGATTCACAGGAACTTAAGCCAACGCATCTCCAAAAAGCATCCAGCATTCAACTGCTTTGCCCCAATTGAAAAGTGGGACAGGAAGCCACGGGTCCTCACCTATGTGCGTAAACACCCACAAATCCATGCTCATGCAGTCCCAGGCCCCTGGGCAGAAAACCGGGACATCCACATGCTGCACATACAGGCCTGGGGTCTACAGCTTCAGACAGTCAACATATACAATGCACCCCCAGGCGCAGAGGATCCTGGACAAGGTGTGGGCTGTCTTCTCTCCTGGTCTGTCCCAGCACTCCCGTTGCTCCTTGCTGGCGACCTCAATATGAAGCACCCCGTGTGGCAACCAGGAGTGCCTCCAAGCATGTGGGCGGAACCATTCCTGCAATGGACCATGGATTTCAACTTTACTCTCACCATGGACCCAGACACCCCCACACGTGGGCATAACATGATAGACCTGGCCTGGGCCACCCCGGAATTAGTTATCAAAGGAGTGGACACACAGGTGGACAGATCCCTTTACACTTCCTCTGACCACCAGACTCTTCTCACCAAAATCAGCCTTCCACAGGGCGCAAGGCCTGACAGGCCACCCCATTTTTTCCGTCTCGACACCATGAATGAGAAGGTCTTTAACCAGACGCTGGAGGCCTATAAGCCAAAACTAGACAAACTATGTGATATCCCAGAGTACCCCAATACAGATCAGCTGGATGCCCTGGCTAAAGGTATCACAGATGCACTAATAGCTTCCCTGGAAAGTTCCACCAAGAAGAGCACCGGGCAAGGCACAGGTCAGCCATGGTGGAATGAGGACTGCCAGAAAGCAGTGACAACACTACATCGTGCACAGCGCCTAGGCTCTAGTTTTTTACGAGAAGCAAAAAGCAACGTAGCCAGGATCACCAGGAAAGCCAAGAGAGAATACTGGCGAGGCAAGATAGCAGAGGCCTCAGTGGGGAAAGATATCTTTAAGATGATCAAATGGGCCCATTCAACTGGCTCCTTTCATTCCCCCCCTCTTGTAGATGAAGAGACTGGGCGAACGCGAACAACCCCTAGAGAGAAAAGAGACCTTCTGCAACGGGTGCTCTTACAGAAGGCTGCAAGCAGAGAGGATATCCCAGTTAGCTGGTCCAACCCACCATCTGTCAAATTACCATTTCCTGTTGCCTCAGCACATGAGATACAAAGTTCTCTGCTGAACACGGGTAATACCACTCCAGGAACTGATGGAGTGCCAACAGAGGTGCTACGAAAGGCATGGCCACATATTAAGGTATCGGTGGAAAGGCTGTTCAGAGCCTGCCTTAGGGTTGGCTGGCACCCAACCTCCTTTCGAGATGCCACACTGGTTGTGCTGCCTAAGGTCAACAGAGATCCAACACTCCCGCGATCCTACAGGCTCATAGCCCTTCTCTCAACGTTGGGGAAGGGACTGGAACGCCTGGTAGCCCGTAGGCTGGCCTGGACAGCTATACAAGAGAAGATTGTCCACCCCCAGGACTTTGGAGCCCTCCCTGGGCGGGCTGCCTCAGACCTAGTGGCAGCGATGGTTCATGATATAGAGGAAGCCTGGGCCCATGGAAAAGTAGTCTCTCTTCTTACTCTGGACATCAAGGGTGCTTTTGATGCTGTACTCAGAGGAAGGATGCTGCGGAGATTGCAAGAACAAGGCTGGCCACCAAATTTAATTAGATGGGTGGAAAGCTTCATGACAGGACGCACAGGCAGGATCAGATTGGATGGACTCCTGGGAGAGCTCTTTGATATCCCAGCAGGGTTTCCACAAGGCTCGCCAGTCTCACCTATTCTATTCATGCTGTTTATTCAGCCTCTGTTCTTTCTAGGAACTATACAAAGAAGACGTGCACGCTCAGGCTACGCAGATGACCTAGGACTGCTTAGTGCTGGAACCACTCTTGAAGGGAATGTTGTTACTCTCCAGGAGGATTTCAAGTTGCTAAATGATTGGGCCAGCAAAGAAGGGCTAACATTTGATTTTGCCAAAACTGAGATAGCACACTTCACACGGCGCAGAATCCTTTCAAACCCCTCAATTGACCTTGAAACAACATCTGGCACTCACTCTATTACAGCAAATGCAGTGAAAAGCTCCATAAGATATCTAGGAATCTGGCTAGATAGAAAACTGAGCTTCAAGAAACACGTGGAGACCATGGCGGCTAAGGCACGACAGGTGTCTAATGGCATACGGGCACTAAGCAACACGGCAAGAGGCGCCCCAGTACAACTGCTTAGACAATCCATTCAGGCCTGTGTGCTCTCTGTGCTCTGCTATGGAGCAGAGGCCTGGTGGCCTGGAGCCACACGAATGGAGAAGGGAAAGGAAATCTCCAATCGAATGGATTGCCTAGTCAGAAAGCTAGATCTAGCCCTTAGAGATGCTTTGCGAGGGGCACTGCCAGTCTACAAGACCACACCCATTTCAGCTCTACACCGTGAGCTAGGAATCATGCCAATGAAAGAGACACTAGACAACCGGCGTGCTGTATTTGCAGTAAGAATCAAAAAGCTTGACAAGAGGCACCCGCTAGTGAGGCGCTCTAATAAAGTAGCTACCACCAAGCCCTATACCACACGTCTGTCTAGAGCGTCCAGTCATGCTGGTGGGATAGAAGCATATGACCCTCTACTCACGCCCCCTTGGATGAGATTTCCCAGGAAAGAAGATCTGCAGATTGGGTATGTGGCAGGCCGCACAAAGGAACAGGCAGCACAAGACTTTAAGAGCTGGCTACAACAACGCAATCCCCTGGATCTGGTGGTCTTCACCGATGGTTCACAGATAGAGCGCCCTCAGCGCGCGACTGGTGCAGGATGGGCTATATGCTGGGGTAGCGAACACCGTCCAATCTCCACAGGAAACCTGCCAATGGATAAAGCAGAGGTCTTTGATGCAGAGGCAATGGCAGCCCTGCAGGGCCTAAAGGAAGCCACCACCTCACCTCAGGCGAAGTTTGCCAGCAACGTCTACATTTGCCTAGATAATTTGGAGGTAGCACGAGCCCTTGGATCCGTGCCAAACACCTCTAGCCAGCAGGTCTTCGCGCAGTTTCTGAAAGCCATAAAGGCCTGGCAGAGCAGGGATAGGCTCCCATTGGCCACCCAGAGCAGGGTGGTCATTAGATGGGTCCCAGGCCACGCAGGCGTGGCTGGTAATGAAAAGGCAGATCTTGAAGCCAAAGCAGCCGCAGCGCAGGCAGCAAGTGCAAGCATGGTACCTCAACCCGACAGCATAGGCACTCTAGCTTATATAAAGCGGCACACTATGGAACAAACCACACGGGCCTTTGAGAACTACTGGGCCAAAAATCGGCCCAAACGCTATATGGAGCTGGAGATCCCACTAAAGAGAGCCTCAACAGAGGCAAAACTTTCACGCTTCACATTAAGAAAGCTCTATGCCGCCCGATCAGGTCATGGAGACTTTGCAGCCTACCACAGCCGCCTTAAGCATGAAGATGCAGAGTGCTACTGCCGGTGCGGACATAGCAAAACCCCAGAACATTTCTACTATTGCACTCTTGCAAGAAAAGCAGCAAAGCGGCGCCGGCCTATCTACAATCTTCGCGAGACACTGGCAACCTCGCGTGGGGCCCTAGATTTCAATAACTGGCTAAGAGAAACAGCCTTCTATCAGAATATCTGTCCAATGCGCCGTCGCGCACCTCCAGATCAGATCCCACAGTCCATCCTCTCCTCTGTCCTGCCCCCGTCTTCCTCACCACCTCCTCCTCCTTCCTCTCTCTCCTCCCCTTTCTTCCCTTCCTTGCCTTCCTTCCTATCCGCCTCCCCTACCTCCCTCCCACAAACCTAAAACCTCTCAAAACCTCTGCTCTATGGCAACCGACCCATGGGCTCTGCCGGTGCAGCAATACGCAACCCTTTTGCCTCATTTGTAAGATAGCTACTAGATAGGTAGTCGCCTACGGGCGCAGCTCTACCCGCCCTATAGTTCGACGCGGACTCTACTAGTTCACGTGACCATAAGGCACGTGGACTAACCGGGCGTTAAATAAACACACACACACACACACACACACACGAGAACACAAGCTGTCTTCCCCAACAACCTACCTCATCTTCGAATTCTCGGTTTATTTTTCTGCGATAATAAGGGCTATTGGCCTTGCTTGGTACTCTCCTGAAAGATGGTGCAATGAACTAGCTGCTCCCTGCTCCCTGCTCCCTTTATGTCGCGATGAAATTATTGTTTCTGTTCTCCGTATTTCTCCACTTCATCGTCGCGACAGCTTCACCTCAACAACAGCCAGATAACCATGGTAGCATAGTGCATAACTGCAGGGATTATCGCACGGTATCAAAGGAATTATTCTTATCGCTCGAAGAGCTGTCCCGTATCGTCGATATAACATATTGCGTCGGCACAACAGGCGTGTACAAGCCCTTCCAATGTCTCGGACGTTGTCATGAATTTGAAGGCTTTGAACTGGTTACAGTACGTCGATACCTTCCTTATTAGATTATGTGGTTATATTTACGCATCCTGCTGCTATTTTATATCATAAATCCCTTTTATCTAACACCCAACACCATCGCCAGACCTGGAATACAGGCCCCCTGCTCTCCGACTCGTGCGGCTTCCTCGTCCTCTCCCACTCACCATGGCCCAAACGTATCATCATAGGATTCCGTGGCACCTATTCGATATCAAACACCATCGTTGACCTGTCCGCCATCCCGCAAGTATATATTCCATACCCAGGCAATAAACCCTCAGATCCACACCAGCGCCCCTGCACGAACTGCACCGTCCACGCGGGTTTCATGCAGTCTTGGCTTAACGCTAGAAACATATTGCTCCATCCGCTGGAACAGACTATAGCCCATTATCCAGACTACCAATTGGTGGTGGTGGGACACTCGTTGGGTGGCGCCGTTGCGGCCGTTGCCGGTCTTGAGTTTCAGATTCGAGGCTGGCAACCGCAGGTAACGACGTTTGGGGAACCGAAGGTTGGGAATCGAGGACTTGTAGAGTATCTTAACGAGGCATTCCAGCTGAGCAATGCATCGTCCTCGTCGTTGTCGACTGATTATTCTTCCAGAGGTCACAATTACAGTGGCAACAGATACAACCAGAACAAGACCTCATCCTACCACCGCGTCACGCACATCAATGACCCAGTCCCCCTTTTACCCCTGACAGAATGGGGCTACAGGCCTCATGCAGGCGAAATCTATATCTCAAAATCCGATCTCCCGCCAAACATCTCTGATCTGTGCCACTGCATTGGAGATGCGGATCCAGAGTGCATCGCTGGTTCTGAGGTAGCGGATGAGGGATACTTACGAATCTTATCATCAGGCTTATCAAAACTTACCGGCTCGAATGATGCTCCCGTGAAAGGAAAAGAACGGGATGAAGGCGATTCCCTTTTAGCTGCTCAGCAACGACCCTTGTTGCCATCGATGGTAGTCCAAGTTCAGGACGACGGGGAATTATCGACAGATGCGAACCTAATCCCGGCCCGCTATAGGTTATGGGAACTGCTGTTCTCTCATCGGGATTATTTTTGGCGATTGGGCGTGTGTTTGCCGTCGCCAAACTGGGAGAAGAAGGGTCCTGGTTGGCGTCTACATTGGAAATGGCCGTTGAAGTGGAAGTTGCCTTGGAAAAGTCGGCGGGTTGGAAGTTGTGGAGGAGGTGGTGAGATGGGTTAACTTAGCTGATCCGTCATCAGCTGTTAGATTCTTGAATGGATGATGCTTCTTCCTTCTTTCTTTCTTTTCTTCTTTCTTTTTCTTTCTTTTTCTTTCTTTTTCCTTCTTTTTCTTTCTTTTTCCTTTCTTTTTCTTTCTTTTTTTCTTTATTTTTTTCTTTATTTTATTTTTTTTTAAGGGAGGGGGAGAGCCAATGTCGTCCCTTTTGAGTATTGATTTCGGATATACCCTTATGCGTTGGAATGGTTTTCTCCTAATTTTCGGCTTTTTACTTGAAGTATTCGTTGCTTTCTTTTTTGATATAGTTTTGCATCTAGCAGGGACATTTCGGGGTTTTTGCGGAAGTTAACTGTCATATATTTACCATCACAGGTAATAATAATACCTACAGCTTCCCCTGTGCATATATATGGCCCACCGGTATCTTCCACCCGATTTTGTTACCTGGATATTAAACGGCATATCCATGGCCCCTCCTCCCAGAGCGGAGCTCGCGGGAAGCGCCCGCCGCAAGATGCTGGCGTGTGAATTCGACCAACTCTTCTTTTGTCACGGAAATGTTGATCTCTCTGTTCACTATCATCCGTCATCATATGAATCTAATGCCTCTAAGCTTTGTTCAGTAAGGCAGGAAAAGAATCAACAAGGATTTGCCAGTGAACAACCGTACTTCCTTAGCGTTTAAACCAGTACAAAATATCCTGGCCAGTTTGAACGTGCTCGTTCAGGGATGAATCCGCGGAACAATGCAAGGTGTTGCCATGACGTCTGGTACAGTGGCACCCAAGAGAAATCCACAATCTTGGGGGGGGTGGGTACAACATTAATCCTTCGAGCAGCAGAATATGTACTTAGTGCACTAAGTAGCCTTAGGGTGGGAACTTAGAGTATAGAAGCTCCACCTGCCCAGGTTATGACGGCAAAGCCTATCATTTTGGGGAGCGAAAACAGGCAAGAATCCGTCTAATATTTCTCGGCCCGCCGATCAGTTGGGATTCGGTTGAGCCAGTGGCTAAGCCAAGTGTCCAGGCGACTCCACGCCGTCCCTAGTTAACTAGTTATTCATTCTTCATGCGGAGATCACCATTACGGAATCAATCCCAGGTCCCCTAGTTATTGGTTAGGGTTCGACTTGACGTCAATAACTTGAATGCTACACAATGTTAGTATAGTCTATTTTTGTTTCTACATGACAATGGATAGTTATACTCATGGCCCCGCTTCATTTACCAGCAATAGTAGCTGACCAGGATATGACATTTGGATGTCTGTTTGGGTGAAACGTTTACGTGACTTGCAGAGAAATTCTGCACAACCCTTTTGATATAGATTTATGGCAGCTAATATTCTCGGTCCACTTGTCCTGTTGGCGAAATTATTTGAATCTCGACAGACTACGCGTAGTTCAGCTATTCAGCTTCCCCACACAATAAGAGCTTCCTGATGAACACACTCAACTGTCTCATAAAACCGAAAGCAATATGTACACCACATATTTCACCACCCCTTTTCCTTAAATACCAGGTCCCCTCTCGCTTTGGTTAAAGGGTAAGCTATCATTTCAATCTCCGAGAGAAGACAGAAATCTAGCATATTTATTTTGTTTTCCTTGTACAACCTTCTTCAGTTCCCAGCTATCAGCCATGTATGTGTGTTAAGATTCGTCGTATATTCCCATTACATCCGAACAAAATAAAATAAAGTATGCCGTGGATGATGTGCATAGTTGTGAGTCCCGTGTGAAAATCTGCCAAAGGTCTACTCTGAGGACCAGCTTTATTCGATTACATTGTGCATTTGGATGCTAACTCTCCCACATATTGGATGAGGAAGCGCAATTGCTGGAAACCAAAACCACAGCCCCGTCCTTTGTTCTTCAGATCTACACCGTCTACAAATCATGCAGTGTGACTGTGATGTGAGATTCTTCTTCAGCTGGAGCCGTCGGGTTTGGGAGGGCAAGTTTATTTAAAGCTCATAGTATAATTTAGCGATGTGTCGAGTTAGTAGGTTCAAGAACGACAGCTTGAATTTAGTATATGAGCCGACGAGGGGGTTTTGGGCCCAAATCTTGAGCAACTTATGTCTGCCATATTTAACCCTGGAAAGGTCATGAAAGTCACAAAAAATTCAACCAGCCCCGAAAGAGAATAAATTCAAAACAGAAGAAAGAAAAATGTAAAGTGAATAGTTGTTTGCTCCCATAGGGGGAATCGAACCCCCGGCTAGCGTGTGAGAGACGCTGATGTTAGCCACTACACCATATGGGACATACTTGTTGGGCAGGGATGGAGGACATGCTATTAATACAAAGCAGTTGCTTATAACCTAGGATTTCTCAATGTAGAAATTTATCCCCTACAACTATTAGTTAAGTTCTACTAAATATCTCCAGTCCCTGTTAATTATTGAGAGTTTAGATATCGCATGCCATGTCTTTACGGTTATATATAGCGCCATAGTCAAGTCCAAATAATCGCGTCGCCAAAGATGAATTATGCCGATATCCTCAATCTTTCCGGTAACTTACAAGCGAAGATGCTCGTTGTTTCCATGCTTTATCTACGGTCGTATCCTCAGGTTTGGAATTTCAGGAATTTTCCTTTTGTCCACTTTTGTCATACGAGCAGAGGAATCGGCTAGTAACCCAGCGGCTGAGGGATAGGGTAGACGGAGAAAGAGGGGAATATATACCCTTGTGAATCAATCCACAATGTAGCAATAAGTCGCCCATTATTAAGAACCTGCTGGTGCTGGAGGGCTAGATGGAAGAACATAGCAATTCAAGCTACTTCAAGAATTAAAGCTCCAGCTTCGCTGAGAATCTGCTTGACGCTTGGGACTAATAAAACAAGGGAGTTGAGACGTTGTGAGACCAGCCGCGAAAACCAAAGCGATCGAGACAACATATTATCTGTATTATTGTATGGACACGAACACCAGAGGAGGAAAAGTTGCTTAATAAAATAAGTCTATGGACGCATCTTGGAGTGCTGCATGAAGATTTTCATTTCAGCAAAGTGCTCTTTGAGCAACGAGTCATATATATATTAAACACAGAAGTTTCCTTGATTTACCACCGAATCAATGACATATCACGTGCTCCACACGACGACTCTTCCATCCACACCGCTTGCTGTTGAGTAGATACTGTCAGCTTTTTCAATCCTAACAGTGTTTAAGAATAAAACAAGACAGGGTATGAGTGGCTCCTTACTGCTAAACTTCCGCACTTTGCCTCCATCTTCTTCATACACCCTCAGAGTGCTTATCGTATTCTGGTGCACAGTCTGGAGTTGGGTATCATTCTTGGTGCTTCCTTTGATATCCATTTGGCGGAACTTGTTGAGAGCACTTTCTTCACGGGCACTGCCAGCTCCTGATTGAGCTTTGGCATCTATTGACCCTACTAGTTGCCAGCCGTTTTCACTGCCACGGAAACGGAATGCCTCGCAGTCCTGTGAGGATTTTGTCAGCAATTCCCGATTGTGAAACTGAGATGGTGGTAATCATTGAGGTCACACATGGCCAGCAGCAATAATTTCATCGTCCCCATTCCATATCAAGCTCGTAAATGGCAGCAATCTGGTGCTAATATTCAACATCGCCCTAGGAGGCTGTTCGGGTGCGCTGGGGTAAACCACGGTGATACTGGAATCGTGGGCAGTAAACGCCAGGGAGTTCCCACTTGGAGAAAAAGCGCACCCATGGATCCACCCAGCGGAGTCATTCAGGAATTCACCACAAACAGTATTAAATGGGAGCCGTTCTCCCCAGGCACTTGGCTCCGGGCGCTCGTCGATGCCTTTGATAAAGCTGGAAAACACCCTTGCATGCGAATCCGTAGATCCGGCTGCGAGCAGCACGGAGTTCGGATGCCAGGCAAGAGTTGTAATCGTGCTGCGGATGGGCTTCTTTAAATGCTTTGAGATCCACCAATCGTTCTCTTCTTCAAAATAGCAGACGGCAATCACGCGTGCACCGGAACCAACGGCGAATTTCTGCTCCGAGGGAGACCAGCGAACGTAGGTTGCGGCTCGATGGATACGGAGAAGCACGAGAGTTGGCTTCCACCCAGTGGCAGTGCGTTCCCAGACGTAGGCATTGCGATCTATACAACACGGCAGTTTAGAGAAGCGTATATTGCACATCCGGTGAAGGCCATCTACTGACCTTGGGAACAAGTCACAATTTTGCCACTTATTGGGGCAATATCCACACCCGTTACTGTCTTGTCATGGCCTTTGAGCTCATCACTGAGAGCATACTTGGAGCCCGATTTCTGGTAAAGGCTTACGAAATTGTCCTTGGCTACAGCGAGAGTCTGCTTGTCTGAAGAGAACGAATGGTCTGCAATTGGGTTGTGAAAGAGATGATGAACTTCGGGGGCAGCCATACTGGACGTATCAAGTTTGCGATAGGAGGAGCTCTCTACTATCGCAAGTGGGATGTTTGCCTTCTGGACTTGTTGATGACGATGTTGGTATGTTCTTGAGTTGCTTGGTTGAATGTTTGACCGATCCATGATCAAAACTGATTAGATAATAATGAGTCATGTGACTAGAAGCTCATCTTAAAAAGCTGATCATTATATTTCCCACAACAAAACATACACAAGGGGATAGCAGCAGAGCAACTAATATACGGTCCCCAGAATCACTGGAGAAGTTGATTGTCGAGGTTGCAATTCCGTCAAATACACTACAACGATAATATATTCCCAATTTTGAGAAATATGACAACAAAACCTGCAACCGCGGTGGTCAATGTGGGAGCTCCAAACCAAACGTCTGTTGAAATCTTTATACCGCGATTGTTAGCAAGGATTTACTGACTGCGAAGTAGTTTATACTGCACGAATCTCCCAGACAAGCTGAAAAAGCCGGATTTGCGACTAGCCCTTTACGCACTTTTCTCAACCTATGGCACAGTCCTCGACGTCGTCGCAATGAAAACAGCAAAGATGCGAGGTCAAGCTCATGTTGTATTCAGAGACATTCAGGCTAGTACTCAGGCAATGCGAGCGTTGCAGGGCTTTGAGTTCTTCGGCAAGGAGATGGTATGTGCATGTCAACGTCTTATCTCTTCAGAACAATGGTTGGAACTGTGCTCACATTCTTGGTTTTGATGGCCTCCAGAAAATTGTCTACGGGAAAGGCAGCTCAAATATTATAGCCAAATTGCGGGGTACGTATAACACTCCGGCCACCGCTCCAGCACCTGGCGTGTCTACCGAACTTCAAAAATCTATCTTCAATGCTCCACCTTCGGCAATGGCTCCAGCCACCACCATTACCACAACGACCACCACGACATCGCCCCCCGCTGTCCCTGTATCCCAACCCACAAGCGAAGGTCCACAAGGCGTCAAACGGCCCCGTGAAGAAGACGAGAGTGGGGGAGAGGCACCAATGGAGGAAGATGACAGTGACGTGTCGATGGAGGCTTCATCCGATGAAGATTAGTCCCCCCAAAGTAGCCGCACTCAAAAATTGAAATTCACGCCCCAACCCCAACGGAGGAAGAAATACACATGGCCCTCCGGGGTCCGATTGATTGTTCTCTTTCTCAAGACTACTGAGACCAAAAGAAGGCTTTGAAGCAGCTTCCCCGCTTTATGGATTTTGTTTGTCGATGAGGAGCCCGCTCGGAATATGCAGACCAACACAATTCCCCACCAAACCGAGCCACAAGAGCAGATACGTCTCCGCGGTTACCTCTAAATTCTCAGCCACGTCCCTCATTGCATCTGCAGTGTTGCATGGGTGAACAAAGTATACCGGAAGGTCCGATAATGGGTGATGCTGCAGCTTGGTTAGCGTTGTTTAAAGAAAGAAAGAAAAAAATGTTTTTTGTTGCCTTGGTGAGCTGAATACACATGGCAGAGACGTGGTACATGGATGGACAAACATACCCCGAAACTTATGCCGCCCATTATGCCAACGTCCCTTAGCTCCGATCTGTATTGTGCGGGGACGAGACGATTGTAAATGATGTCAAGAAGACCCTTTGGTGAGGTCTTGGCAGAAGTGTTGGCGTTGTTGTGCACGAAAAAATATAGGATAGGGACTTGATAGGTGGGCGAGAGCATGATATTGTATTCTACTTGGAGCTTGGAGTTGCAATATGGTTGTCGAATAAGCTCTTCCTGTGTACCCTATTGTCAGAATCTACTCTACAATGAAGGGCAAAGCTGGATCGGGTTTCCGTCCTTTCGCGGGGGAGGGGGGAAGAAATGTGAAAACTACACTAGAGGGACGATATACGAACAGGGTCGTTTTCATCAAGTTCAAAAATCTCAGTCGTGTCATTCTTGTGTGCCCCATGGCTCTCCAATACATCAACGTGTTTCAGTTGCTGCGGAGGGGTAGAGTTTTCTTCGTCGAGTAGTCTATGTATAATCAAAACTACCTCGTCATCCTGTACCAAAAGATATTGTCCCGAGACCGGCTCAATCTGATTAGTTATAATACTGTCAGGTCTCGAACACCCATTCCATTCCTCTTTTCAGTATTTGCTTTTTCCTCGTTTTTCGAAACCAAAACGCGAGCAGTCGTGATAGCATGCAGGAGCAAAAGCCAGTTGTTATTGGGGGGTGGGGTGTGGGAAGGGAAAGATAACTTTTATGTAGAGTGACAATCACACAGACGTACCCACCCGTCTCTGGGGAATTTTTATGTGGCAAATGATGAAAAGCCCCAGGAATTGAAAAAGAACAAAACTATAAACAAAAGTGAGTTGGCACTTTACCTACCTTCGTTTCTAGCCTCACACCTGTCCAACCAAGGCCAGCGAGGTTGCCTCCCCCTTCATCTGGGGTTTGGTAAGCATCAACTCTAGCTATCAGAGCGCGACAGGCAGTGGTGAACTCGTCGCGAGCCAGAGATGGAAAGGCGGAAAGCGGGGGTGGTGGCGCTGTCATCTGGGAAAGCAGATTGAACCAACATCTGAGAAGGGAATTGTGGATTTGTTGGATTATTGTAGAGCAATAAACTATCAGTTATTTACAGCCCTAGCTCTGGTGTGCCTAGAAACCCCCATCTGTCTGTGGTATTCGGACCCGCTCCCCTTTCCAGTTCCAAGTGGAAAACTGTTTTAAGGAGGGACACGGAGGGAAAATAGGATAGGCAAAGCGATAGATTGCTGATCGGGATCGGGCCTTATTGGGAACTATCAATATATCGATTGTTGAATTCTCTTTCGGTCTGGCCTGTTGTACTCCCGTGCCAGGTAGTTCAAGCAAGCCCAATTGCTGCCCGCTGAGGTTGTACTGGACTCGATGAACTGTGCTAGTTGTTCTGGACATTGCTATCAATCTTCCATTTTTGGCGCTGCCGCGGCTTGAGTGTGATAAATTGGATTGATTTGCTGTCCCTCGTCCCCTGTCCGAGTTGTCAACTCTTGTCAACTCTTGTCGACTCATTCCAGTGAGAGGCACCTGATAACTACTTGGGCGGCGGCGGCTCTGACTTAAGGTTTGCCGATTAGTCAACCCCTGCCAAAGGACCCCTGCAACCTCAGACAGCAAACCAACCATCAACACCGTAAATATCCAGAATATCAACATCATGATGACGATAGGATATCGACATCGACACAGCCAACAACCAACAATGGCCACCTCGCATGTTCAGCTCTCCCCAACCAAACAGCCTCCTCTCCTTTCCCCCCCCCCCTGTCTCGCCCTCACACTGACTAGCATCGCAGCAATCACCAATGGTTGTTGTCCAAGATCTACCCGGCTTGGCCTCGATCTGTATGGAGTCAGGCCCAATCGTAATGTCGCCTCTAGCCCATAATCTGAGTCTCTTGGTGTCAGGATTCTCGGGGGTGCCAGGAGTGAGCAGCTGAAACCAGCGAATCTTCCAAGCTTGGCTCTAGCATGTCTTCTTGTTTCACCGGTCTGTCAATATTTCCCCCAATTCAGCCAGCCCATTAACCTCGTTTTATCTACCGAGTATATCTTCCTCAGCTACAGAACCCGCGCTGTATCTGCATAACTGACTGACTGATCCTCCTCTGTATGTCAAACCCGCCACGGTGGTAATTATTCGATTCTCATTCCCGAGACTGGTCTATCCTCTCGCGTGTCTCGAATAACCAATTATTTCCGTTGTCATGGCTCTAGCCGGATATTCTTATTGACGATGGACCTAACACCCAATGAACAACCCCCCCTAACTATTCAACGCAATTCAAGTTTTGTCCATTCCCGACCAAGGCTGGATCTTTCTCTTTTCCTTCTCTTCTTCTCTCTTAAATCTTCTTGCCATTTTCAGCAGCTTGCCTTGTTGACTTTGACTCCGTAGTGAACGTGTTGTGCCGCTGTCATTCATTCGTTTTTTATTTTTATTTTGGTATGAAGAAAATTTCTTCTGCAGCTATTCCACCCCGCATCGGGAAGTTTCGGTAATCTACCTGCTGCTTGTTTCTAACTATTCAATTTTACTTCTTGATTTATTCTTGGTCATCCGAACCCTCGAGTTTCCCTTCCCTGCATGATATTCTTCTCTCTCCCTTGATCTTCGACTGTTCACTGGAGTGAAAAGCTGTCTCTGCGTCACTCTTTTGTCTCTCTTTGTGTTTTAGCCCTAGCTCCTCCACAGCACCCAACTTCCAGTTTGTCGCTCCCCAAGCTCAGCCGGCTCTGAAACACGGTTCCATTTTGCAGGTGTTTGTCATTTGATTTGACTCTTTTTCTTTTCTTTTCTTTCTCTCAAGGAAGCCGTAACAGGTCTCAAGGGAAGAAATTTGTAGGAGCTGTTCATGCTGGGATACAGTGAGCCCATCGTCTATATTAATACTTCACTCCGCTATATTTGGTCGTCACCTGGAGCTCCCAACATATGTATGTGTCAAGGTTTTGCATGTCCCTACCCCTACATACTGTCGCAAAAATCCACCAACATTTATCCTCAGCGTAGCCGCTGCCCTCTCTTCTCTGGAATTCGAGATTATATCCCTACAGCCCCGGTTGATTGCTATTAGCTATTAGCTGTCATTAGACGTCCGAGTGAGCTTGCGCGCTTCCCTGTGCTCGGTATATGAGCTCTTCCGGGGCTGTAAGCTCCCAGGCGTCGTAGAGGCTTTGTCGACTCGGAAAACCGTGGCAATGGGAAACACGCAGTCTACCGTCCGGTCTGCTAACTACCCAAAAGGAGCACGACGTTCGCATCGGCTGTCAAAGCCACGGACAGGCCAACCAGCTAATACGTTCAGAGATATAGAGGACCTTATAAATTCTTCACTTCTAAGTCCATGCAGCTTGTCTAGTCCGTACAGCCCGGGCAGCCCATGGCCCGATTCCCATCCTAGGCATTTCCAGCGGGCTACGGCACCAGTCGACGGAATCCTTTGTGCAGAGCCTTCATCACCACATTCTCCTGATCATAGCCGTGGTTCGGGAAGTCAGGGCGCCGGTGATGATGGCAAGACTCGATCTAATTTTGGCGAAATAATGGGTGAACTCAAGCGACGACTGTCACAATCAGGCTCACGGTCACGAGGTTCCCGGTTCTCTTATACTCCAGAATTAGAGCAAGTCGATATACGTTTATCCCAAAAGATTCCAGTAGCAGCGAATCGAGTTAAGTCGGAAGAGACGAAAGCACCATTCGGTCTGGGAGTAGGCGCCCAAGATGAATTCCAGCCGGCCGAAAATCACAGATTCTCTTTGATCCGGCGGCTTTCCCTGTACAATACTAATAAATCTTCTAAATCTCCGAAAACCCTGCTTCAGACCATCTTTTGCCCACGAAATACAGAACAGGGCGTCCCATCCTTCTCCTACTGGGGCCCTGACGGTCATCTACCGCTTCGACGGGACTCGGCAGATACGGTTTTTCTATATGAGATGACTCGCTCTGCTCCACTACGGGCATCGACTCCCAGCGACCTTGAATATTCTCATTTGGGGAGGCTGAAACTTGGCTCACTTCGCGTTGTAAATGGCAGCGCTTCACCGGCTCCAAGTGACAGAGTTCCGATGAGCGTGAGACGCCAATCATTTTCCGACATGAAAAGCATACATTTGGACCTCCGTAACTCTGTCGATTTGCTACAAACTCGTAGCCGAGACTGGGGAGACGGCTATTCCATCAGCAATCTACAAGAAACCTATAGTCATAGCTCACATCTAGAGTCATCGCCAAATAGATCGAGAACACCTCAAAATGGCCCTGGCAAAAGCCCGCTGAGACCGGAACACGGGATATATGCACCAACGCCATCTAACAACAATGATTTAGGCCTCCCAGTTTTCAGGCTTTCTTGGCCAGGGAATCCCGATGCATTTCTTGGTATCTCCTCTACTGCTAGTAGCAAGCACGATCTCTCCATGCAACCTAACGCATCAGCAAGTCCATCACTTGAGCTTAGCCAGGTTCTCCAGACAACTTCCAAGGCAAATGAATTTGATGACAATCTGTTCGAAGATGAAGGTGTGGAGATTTTAGGAACGGGGAAAGATGAATCTATTGAGCATGAAGATAACGACGAGTGCAATCGAGGACGGCCGATAGAGAGCTCGACACGAGGTAGTCCTGTCACTATGAGAGGCCGAAAAGTATACCCTCTTACCAAAGCAGATAGCGGATACAGTACTGCTTCTTCGAATAGGTCTCTACGGCTCCACAAAATGTCGTTGACTAAGAGGAGTGATGGCGAGGAGATAATCCGAACGACAAATGCGGAGACCAGCAGAGCTACTAAAGTTATTGAGGAATGCAATGAGTCAATCACTTCGCCCTGCTCATCTCGAAGATCTTTGTCGGAATCACCTCCCCCGGTACCGCGGAAAGACACGCCACCGTACTTGAAAAGCCCAAACGTGGATCAACATTGCCAGATACACGGTGAATTTGCTCGAACTCAGCCTCCAAATGTCCGTTCAAACGCTAGTTTTTCACAACGCATGAGTCATATAATAACAACATATGATGGCCCGAAGACGACAAGGGTAGATTCCCATGCTTCATCTCCATCTCCAGTGTTTCTGGGTGAAGGGTTCCGCTCATTTCTATCTGATACCACTGCAGAACTAGGACAAACCTCTTGGCCATGCAAACCCGATTTCTTGCAATACGATCCATTCGAAAGCTTTGAGCCCAACCCCTTCGGTAACCATGTGAACAGATCCACAGCCCCTATCCGTCGATCTACATCGGTTCAAACCAAAATGCCAAGTAAAATGGCTCACATTGCTTCCCGCGCACACCATCTCCATCATCCGCAGTCGATGTCGAACCTAAATAAAGTGGCGTGTGCTCCAACGTCGAACTGGGACCCGGATCACTACATGTGTAAACAACAACAGGAACAAGAACAGGAACAACGTCAGAATGAGCGCAACCGATCCATGCGTGGCTCATTTTTCCGAAGTCTCAGCAAGAGCAAAAAACAGAGCACGGCCGTTAGCGACCGCACGAGCATTTTCGGTTACAGGCGGATGTCCAAACCCAATAACCCAACACTAGCACAGGATACATCCTCCACAACCGCAACTGCGACAGGATCAACTATTCTAAGCCCAAGCCCACGAACAGCTGAAAAAGGCGATTTTTCCCTCGAGGCTCAAGATTTGATGGTGTCCGACGAGCCTTCTTCACCCCGCCAAAGGCCTGGTGTCTATTACAACAGTAGAAGGACAAATAGCCGCGTTTCCTCGACATTTACGGCACCTTTTCCTGCTGCGCCTGGGCCTCAGGAGTCGAAGACAGTTGTTAAGCCTAGTCGAAGTTTCGTACGGGGAGCGGAGGGCAGAAAGGACTCGATTTTCTGTGTTGGCTTTTCCCAATCCCAGTCACAGGCCCAGACGCTGGCAGGATTTCAATGAATTGAGCTCACGATTTTTATTTCTTCCAGTTGTTGGGTTTTGAATGCAATAATATGTTATGAATTAAGTTACTCCTCAAAATGACTTTGCATTCTTCTCTGTGAAACTTTACATTTCTTCAATCTCCTTTTCTTTTTTCTTTTGATGACAAATTTCACAGTTTTATATATTTATATTTACATTGAGGATGGGGAGTTGAATATATTATGATAATGTGATGGGGAACAAGCCGTGGCCAACTACAACACACTTTTAATCCACCTAATGTTGAATGCTGCGCAATCAGAAAGTGGGTTTGGAGTTGGAAATAACCAATTTACTTTCTACAACTCATCGGGTAAATGAGAGGTTGAAACCTTTATGTTTATTTATTTATTTATTTTGGTCCCCTCCACATATATGTATAGAAACGCCGTTCACACATCTCATATTCTTTATTTCATTTGTCAGTTTTCCCTTTTGGCGGCCCCACCCCCCCACCTGTCTTTACTATTACCACGGGAGTATTTATGTCCCCCCCTTTTCTGAGTATAGTTATGTACCCCCAGCTTATATCTCTCCTATGAGCCCATATAAATCGATGAAATCTCTCAAATTTCAGCATTACAATAGTTAAGATGTTCTCTATGATTATGTGAAAGGATTATCTCAATATATGTAGTAGGTGAAATCTTTAGTCGCAAGCTCGAACATTTACCATGAAGTGTGTAAAGTGAAACCTTGATCCGAATTAGGTTTTGAAATAGACCATGTTCTGATTATTATAAAAGATTTCAAAGTTATGCCCTCCTTGATATCAATATTGTACCTTGTCATACTATTCCATATGCAATCACACAGTATTCTCACAAATTCATCATTACTACATTACAGTGGTTGAAAAAGGGTACAGCAAAGAAAGAAAGAAAACATCAAATACCAAACTCGATGCAAGCTAACGAACCAACAATGGAAACCACTATTTCTGACATGCCAGAGTAGTAGGTATTGTACACGTGTGCACCCTACTCAATCGTAATCTTCTTTGAAGTGGGGGCTGACATCTTTGGGATGATAACTGACAAAATGCCATTCTTCAAACTGGCCTTGACAGCATTCTGATCAACGCGAGTCGGGAAGCTAAATGTCCGACTGAACTCGCCAACCGAGCGCTCAGACACCCAATACTTGACGCCTTCCCGAACACTGCCGACCTCCTGAGACGAGCCGCCCGTCTTCGTCATGGAAGTGGAAGATTCATCCTCAACGGTTGGCTGGTGTAGTTTCTTCTGCCCCTTATCGCCAGGTTCACCGTTGGAAGAGGAGGAGTATTCGCGCTCCGAGCGGCCTTTGATGACGAGGGTCTGAGAATCTGTGAACTCGATCTCGATGTCCTTTTGGTTGATGCCTGGCAGCTCGCCGTCGAGGTGGTAGGCGTCTTTAGCTTCGCGGACGTCGAAGCGGGGGGCGAAGGTGCGTATGCCGCCTAAGTGGCTGTTGGATTCGACGCCGGAGCGGTGGCTTTCATAGTCATCTAGCAGACGGAAAAGGGGGGTGAAGTCACCGGCGGGTAAACGTGGGAAGAAAGACATGTTGCGTGCTTGGCTGATGTTAGATTGGGTGGTGGTGGCGGACGGGTAGATGTGTGGGATAGCCCCGGAAGAGAATTTAGAGATACGGTAAGCTGAAGAGGTAGGCTGGGATCGAAGTCTGGAGGCTTTCAAGGGGCAACCGATGGCTCGACGAGAGAACATGAAGTTGGGTCCTCGATTTTGGCTGTTTAATTTGTTATTTCTATTCATTTGCTTCTAAGATGTTTGCATGAGATTCCATGCGGTATATATAGGAAAGTCGGAGGCATTCTATCTTGCGTCCGCAGCAAGCTAAAGCCTATCCATCCCTCTCCGCCTCCCTTACGTCAATAACTTTCGCGCAGCAGCGAGATGTCGCATGAAGCTTTGAGCGATTTCTCGAATGGAGCAGAAGCTTCCATTGAAGTCACGTGATGTCATCAGTTCTCCTGCGCAATTGATCAACGATGAGGATATGTAAAACCAACCACCTTAGGGGGATCCACAGAGAAGGTGAAAGTATTGACTGGGTTTAACAAGTTTGCTGGACGACTCTCTGGCCCGTTTGCCACCCGGATCTAGCATTGAGCGAGGATGTCGTGATCATGGACTGCGCTGTTAAAATTCAGCGCAAGACATTCCGGATCCCAGCGGAAGAATACGTTTCGACCTGGCGGCGGCCTCGTCGCAGGAGGTATTCAATAGCCGAGAAGTCCATTTTGCTGATGTTCACGTTCTTCCGGAACTCTTGTCTAATGTCATGTCGTACGAAGTGGGTAAATTAGCTTTGGGTGTGAATATCATGCCACTGTTGATACGCACCGGGCAAACCGTTTAAAGTTATCCTGGGATTCCTAGAGATAAATCGAATGAATCGGTTAAGCCCATATGCGAATATTGAAGAATAGCAGGTCATGTTATGTACCTTGGGCTTCTTTCTGATCTCCCTGAGAGCATGTCTATACAAAGCGAGCACCTCGCGCTGTAAGCCGGATAACTTCATGGTAGATCCGGTCAATGGGGAGCTCTTGGTTGAGCAGTGTCTTTGAAATACTTCCAGGCATTCAAGAATTTGAGACCTGGTAATGAGCCTGGTCTAATGTGGCGTGGTTATATAGTAGTTATCCAACAATGGATGATTCAACATTGCAGCAGCAGAAAAGGAACAGAGAATTACGGAAGTTAACAATGTTGCTGGACACTTAAATAGTTCTAGCCAGGAAGAAGATGATAAACTCATCAACAACAATTGTTTCCAGCTAGAGGAGGAAAACTTGATAGTGAGAAATGATAATTCAATTTACTTATTGATTTATGAAAATAACAGTAAAATGAATATTTATTATTCAGTTACTTCTGTTTTACCCAGATGTTTAGATGTAAATAGTTACGTGATGTCATTCTTCAACATCCATAACTGAGCTTGACTAATCAACTGCAGAGTAATCCGTAACTGATTAATCGTTCACAAACCCGCCCACCTAAAGGTTTCATTGAGCATAATTACTCAATGGGCCTTCCCCAGCCGTTCCCTATCGGTGTAAATGGTAAACAATAAGGAAGATAGCATAATGCCTCCGTTCTCAGTAAGTATACAAAACCTCCGTTCCCTCTACAATCCGCCGGGTGATAACCTGCAGATACCCCGGATAATTCGTATAGCTTATGAATATATACTAACCGCCATCTAGCGTCTTATCCGCTTTCTTTCCAAAGACGGGCGAGTCTACTACGGCGAGCCCTTCCTCCCCCCTGCCACCACCGACATCTCCTGCGCCACCTCCGCCCGCCTCATCACCGGCGACATCTTCACCTCCCCAACCCTCACAACCCGCATCCTCCCCATCTCCCGCCTCCTCTCCCCGCTCTCCCCTACGGACGTCAAATCCATTCGTTGCCTCGGCCTTAACTATGCCAAGCACGCCACAGAGGCAAACATGCCCATCCCCAGATATCCAATCCTCTTCTATAAGCCCCCCGCCTCCCTCGCAGGGCCGGGAGATGACATACCAGTCCCTATTATGGCACAGGAGTGTCCCGGGATAGATTATGAGTGCGAGTTAGTCATCGTTATTGGGAAGCAGTGTCGGGATGTTTCTGAGGAGGACGCGCTGGACTATGTGCTTGGGTATACGGTGGGCAATGATGTGTCGCATAGGGAGTGGCAGTTGAAGCGCGGTGGGGGCCAGTGGGCGATTGGGAAAGGGTTTGATGGCTGGGCCCCGATTGGGCCGGGCATTGTGACGACGGCGGTGTTGCGGGATGCGGCAGGGTTGAAGATTCAGACTAAGTTAAATGGGGAGGTGGTGCAGAAGAGTTCGACCGCAGATATGATTTTTGATGTAAGGCGGACGGTGTCGTGGTTGTCGAGGGGATGTACGTTGGGGCCGGGAGATTTGATTTTTACGGGGACGTGAGTATGAACTTGTTTTTTTGAATTGTTCTCTTCTCTGTTCTTTCAAGAGCTGGTTGGTTGTCTTTGCTAACTTCGGTTTTGCTTTTGTGTAGGCCTTCGGGAGTGGGCATGGGCAGGAACCCGCCCTTGTGGCTCAAGAATGGTGATAAAGTCGAGGTGTCTCTTGAGGGAGTGGGAACTTGTGAAAACAGAGTTATTTTCGAGGAACACTCAGCAAAGCTGTAGGGGATTGAATCTAAAGGGTAAAGAAAGATGATGAATACGCATATGAGAGCCGCAAAAGTGGTCACTGGAAATTGCAGTCATCATTAGAACCACAAGTGAGATTTGTGGTTGAGCACAGTGGCTCTAGTGAAGATAATCCAGAGTCTAGATTTTAAAGACGACACATATACCCACGTAGTTAAATAGAAATGGTCAAACAGAGCTTCTTAAAGCGTAACAACGCGGATCGGAATATCAATTACCAACAAAAAAAAAAACGGGGAAAAGGAGCAGCCCAATCGATGCATCATTCAACTGCGCAATCAATTAGTCGTCCTCCCATATCCTCTAATATCTTCCGCAAACTCCCAACTCTGATTCTCCAACCTCTCATCATCCTTCAACGACACCCCGTCCTTCTTCACAATAGCAATAGAATAACGATCAGTACTTCTGGCATCACGATAAAACAACACCTTCAAACACTCCTTCAGGGCTTTGACTGCTTCCTCCTCCGTGATCTGCTCCAACGGTCGGTCCTCCGGGAACAACCGCCTCAGCACTGGGATAGCAAGGTGGGCTCCAAATCCCGTAGCCAACGATGGGGCCGAATATGTGCTTCCCAGCAAATCGACGGAGCTCAAAAAAGGCTGGCCGTTGGTGTCGAAGCCTGCGACAAGAATGTTGTTCCACAGCGGATTGAACTGTGAGCGGCGCCTGTACATCAATTTGGACAAGTAGGTATGCAGGTTCTGCGCGTTGAGCGTATGGCCGTAGGTCGAGTAGTTTTCGTCGATGTCCAGGGAGTTTAGGTGGCGGTCGATGAATTGCATGTCAGACACATCGCCACCAAAGCCTAGGACGGCGTTGTTGTGGAAGGGGCGCAGACGCTTAATGTCCGTGAAGCGCGCTAGGGAGCCGTATGATGCTGGAGTGGTGTTAGAGATTGCGACTATCAATTGTAATAGTAAAAAGAAAAGCCACTGTACCCAAATTGTCGGCTGCGATTGCTACACCGCCGTTGAACTTGACGGCAATCACTGATGTACCTGTTACAATAGGCGACTGCGTGTGTGTGTTGGGAGTGGTTGTTTGGAGATATGAATGGTCATATTCGCCATAAATGTCATTTCTAGGCTTTGGAAATTTAAAAGCAGCAAAGTTAGATTTGCATATAATATAGCAGAACAGAGAGAAGTATGGCAGCTTACTCGTCCCCAAACTCCAGGGAAGTGGTTCATGATGGGTAAATCGTTAACGGCGGTGATGGAGGCAGGAATTGAGGGATGCGGTTGGATTGAAGAGGAGTAAAAGTAGAACAAGTGGAAGGCTTGCGATCTATACGTTCTTGGAATCAAGTTGAGAGATATGTCATGGGAGAAGATAATTGTATCCTGCGTTGCTACTGTTCTGTTGTCGTCGATCAGTCAACTAAGCTTGCGTCAAAGAAGCTCAGTCAGCAAGCGCTGCGCTTACGGGAGTTGATCGCGGCTAATGCGCCAAATAACGATTTTGAAAAATACACTCAAATGCGATAATATTTATCCACGATGCTATATTCTCTGCATGTAATTCGTTATTTCTCCACTAAGATATGGCCAATTCCGTAGCCTGCCCTTGGGTATAAACACCGTTAAGTCAACCCATGTATGTACAGTAGTATATATCCATAAATCACCACCGTTAATTCATTCCAATATCCCCCCCCCAACAAAACCAAAAAAAAAAATTAGTCGTAAAACACCGATCACGGAGAGAGCGATCATTTCCTCTTCTCCGGTGGGGACCTGGACTTCCGTCTCTTGTGATTAGAATCACTCCGTCTAGTCCTCCGCTCCAAATCCGCCGTCCGTCGACCCCGTTCAGGATTCATTGGTGAGCTTGTCCTCTCCCTATTTAGCCCCGCCATAACACGCTCAGCGGCACTAGGCCTACTCTTCCCACCGGGTGGAGTCGCAGGTTCTCTCGATTGTCCTCCCCCACCCGCAGAGACAAAATCTATAGCTTCTCTTGGCCCCGATGCTTTCTTCTCTTCAATTTTCCGTCGCACTTCCTGCTGGCTTTTAAGTAACTCCTCCTTGTAGCCCCACGGTGGTAGTGTCGAGACGGGATCCCACAGCTCCTTAGGGAGGGAGGTGGCATATTGCGCCTGTCCATCGATACCAGCATGTTCCATCAACTTTGCCAGCAAACTTGGATTTCGCAGAGATGAAGAGCTAGCCAACTTCTCGTTGAAATGTACGCCTTGCCTTTTCAGAGAGAAGAAGTGTGCGAATTTCTGGTTCGCGGCTGGATCGGGGGAACCAGGAGGGGAGGGCGGGATGTCGAAGTTGGGGATGGGGGGAAGGGTCATGTCGCGGAGTAAGGCGCGGTTTGCGGAGAAGGGTGAGGATTTTCGAGATGACGATGAAGGCTCGTTACCGGTAGGAGATATTGATTGTATTGGTTGGAAAGGCCCGACTAGAGGTTTATTATTTATATCTTCGATAGTCCGAGGTATGCGTTCTCGCTGGTCTGAGCCAGCGTTTTCTTTATCTGTTAGGGGATCATTAGTAGAGTATTGCATAAGCAAGGGCAAGATATATATACACAAAGCATACCTGCTGGTTGAGCTGAAATAGTTTTTGTAGAGTCCGTTGGTTGCTGTATAAGATTGTCAGAAATATGATCAACTTGGATGATATACTCAGGCAAGCGCACCTTTGCTTGCTGAATTTTTGTCGGAGGAGCATCCACATCCTCATCTTCGCTGCTGCTACAATACGCTGCTAAACCGAGCATTGTGCTCTGTCTAACAAACCGAGCGTGGAATGGCGAAAATAATTGACCTACATTGGCAGTATGTTCATGGTGTATTTGGTTCATCATTGACAAGCTAAATAAGCGCTCGGCTATTAGACGCTGTGCGGCATATTTTACTGTGATGTAATCTATCTAGAGGGCGATTCAGTGAACGCTCAAATGAGCCCAAATTTGTGTAAATAATTACTGTATAACGAAGGCTACATATGCAACGATATGCAGCCATGCCTTTCCATTCAAAAAATTGTAATTCAGTGTGTTACGAAAAAGTGTGATCAAAAGCTATTGGCTTGAAATTGGTCTAGATGAAGCTGTATTCCGTTTGTGAGTACGATATTCAATTGTCAAAGATTGTGTGTTCTAATATATATTCAATATAAGATGATAGTTACCAACAATAGTCTGAACATATAACTCTGTTATCAATAAACAAATGGTAGAAAAAATGCCCGGGGAGGGGGAGAGGGAGGGGAGGAGAAAGAGGTTCAGGCTCTGTGAAGATATTATATCCTTGAGATCCACTTTCGAGCCTAGGCCCTGCCATTCGACATTAAAGAACTGTAATCTGGAGGAAGCGATGAGCTCCTATAGCGTCCAGCCTCTTGTAAACCATACGCTGGAACGGAAGCTAGAAGTCTCCATCATATCATACGGATAAGCATAACACACCGCCGCACACCGGTACCATTCGTACATGCAGTTGATGGATTCTGATAATTCAGCGCTGCTCGACATGTCAATGAAGCAGGTATCCACCCAAATATAGGCCAGATTATCTTTCATTGCTTGGGCGCAACTCCAAGACAGTTTACTGTATAGTTGTCCCGTAAATGCCGGAACAGTTTCTCGGTCACGAAAAACGACCTCTTGCTCCTGCCACCTGTGTGAAAGGATGGCATATAGCGGAATGCAGCCATCTGAGAATTCTTCCAACCGATAAGTCTTGGTATTAAGGAGACGCATGGTAATGGAGGCGAATGTTAATTTTTGGGCTTGATCGTTAATGTGGTATCAACTGAACAGATGTCCCCTATGATTGATTGATTGCTGGTTAACGACGATGCTGTCCAATAGTTACACTGTGGAAGTGCAAGATGTAGTTGAGTGGAAAACTCGAAAATCATATGTTGACAACATTCTACTGCATGAATTCAATCTGCTCATTTTCAGGCCCCTCAGTGTTTGCTCTCTTCGCTAGGCCTTTTGAGGCCTAATCGGCCAGTTACACGAGGAGTTAAAGTAGCCCTTGCCCACAAAATAATAGCAGAAAGAAGCATGGACTTTGTCTATTCATAGCACATTGTGAGCCATGAATGGCCGCGAGAAGCCAGAAATTGATATCAGGGCTTGGTATGGCACCAACTCCCTCAGCGGGCACCGCAGGGCTAATATCTGCATCCCGGGGAAGCCCACGTACTAAATATCTCCTGTAGTTTAGCTAGTTGTAGGAATCCATCTTCTTTTAAAGGTTTATGGGAGTTCAAGATCCCCGTTTGCGGCATTATCATTTATCAATATTATGAGATGGATGATAGATGTTGAGCTTCGGTTGGTCGGTTCGTTAGTTAACTAACTAGTTAGAGGTTGACTAAGCATGAGGCAGCCATCAGCTTTCACGTTAACCTCACCGAAGCTTCAAAACCCAACTCAACGAACATCTCAGATACCACATACTATACGCCATAATTTCCTGATTCCTCTCTTTGCATATCCTCTGTCCAGTTTCGGTAATCCTCATCTATTCCACCCGCACCCCCGAAATGACCTCCTTTCTCAGCCATTCCTTCCCCCATGCCGAAACCATAGGCTATTCGTTCGCTGAACAACAGTCAAACGGTGCGCCCAAGCGTCATCATGGCTTTAACCCGTAAGTTCCCTTCGAACAACCCATGCCGGATCTTTAGTATCATAGAAACAGCAACTAATACTGCCATGCTGTTCTCCAGATACACCGACAATGGCGGCTCAACGTTAGGCATCGCAGGTGAAGACTACGCTATCCTCGCAGGCGACACACGCTCCGTCACCGGCTACAGCATAAACACCCGCTACTCCCCCAAGCTTTTCAAGATAGGTGAAGACGGTGAAGGTGGTGAGGGTGCCCATCTTGTCCTCTCTGTCGTCGGTTTCGCCGCAGACGGTCGCGCCCTCAAAGAACGCTTAGATGCCGTCGTGAAAATGTACAAGTACAAGCATGGCAAGCCCATGTCTGTGAAAGCCTGTGCGCAGCGTCTGTCTACCATTCTATACTCGAAGCGGTTCTTCCCGTACTACGTTCACGCGATCCTGGGCGGTATTGATGAGGACGGCAGGGGTGCGCTGTACAGCTATGATCCCGTGGGATCCTATGAGAGGGAGTATTGTCGGGCGGCCGGTGCCGCAGCAAGCTTGATTATGCCGTTTTTGGATAATCAGGTTAATTTCAAGAATCAGTATGTTTCGGGGCCAGGAGAAGGGAACGCGCTAGATAAGCAGCCCAGACAGCCGCAACCACAGCCTGCGGAGGATGCACTGCAGCTTGTCAATGATGCTTTTACAAGTGCTGTGGAGAGACATATTGAGGTGGGTGATGGGTTGCAGATAATGTTGATTACGAAGGACGGGATAATGGAAATGTATCATCCCCTGAAGAAGGATTAGATTAGAATTGGTGACCTGTTTTTCCAAGCGCTCTTTTACTCGGGTCTGTTTTTCATCCGTGTTTCGAGCAAATATGCACTTTGTGATTGTTTCCGTTTATTATTTCATCACAAAATATAATCAACCGACCCATGAAGATCCATGTCTTAATATCTGATTTCGTAAATCCTATTCCCTTCTAAATCCAATCGTTGCATTACGCACCCCTAAGTATAAAAATCAAGACCAAAATCAATACCAAAACCAAAACCCCAAAAACGCCGTTGCTATGCAAGTGCAGGTATCGCTTCGAGAATCCTTCAGTTGCTTTTTCTCGTGTTTAAAAACGTTCCTTCATCCGTGACGCCACGGTCCGTAAATTGCCATACACCTTGCTCTGTAGTCAAACATCAGTATTACATATTACTCAAAACAAAAAGAAAGAAAAAAGAAAAAAGAAAAAAAAAAGATATACCACCAATAAAAAAGGGTGACTTACCGGTGGACTGCCCAAAATCAAACTAACAATCGCTTCCCTGGCGACATGAATATTTCTAAACCCACCAAGAATATGGATCTTCTGATCAGCCAACACCACCCGCGTCCGGCTGGCATTCTCAATTGCAAACTTGGTCTTCCCATCCTTCCCCGCAATCCGTCCCACGGCACGCCCCAAATGTTCCCCGCCAAGTGTCTTCACATCCTTAATCTCAAACGTCTCAATGTACAAGTCATCCAGACGCAGAAGGGCAATCGCATCATCAACATCAAACCCCAGAGTGAACGCTTTCACGAAGTCTTCACCTTTTTGCAACGCACCAGTGTCTGTCGTGTGCTTTGATGTGCGCAGCTCAACAGTGCGGTTTTTGATGTTCATGCGTACTTGAAGTTTTAGATGTTCAACGAGGGGGGGGTAGATTTTGGGCCAGAAGGCTTTTAAGGGTGTCATGCGGTGGGGCGGGACGGGGACTTTGCGGGTTTCTACACGGTATGCGCCTACGGATGGGGTGGCTGGAGTGAAAACTGGACGGCCTTCAACGTCGATTTGCATTTCTGTATCTTCTTGGTTGGTAGCTGGGGTTGGGTTTTTGGATATCGAGGGTTCAGTGAGGGGTGCAGCATTGGTGTCGATTAGGATATCCTCTTCATCTGTATCATTTAGTTAGCATGACATATCTCTTGTGAGGATGTCAATATTCATGTGTTTTTTTTTCCTCAAATACTTACGTTGAGGGGCATTTTGCGATACTGCACCATGTTGCCGATTATCTGCGGCTTCCTCTGGGTCCCTAAGACGAGCTGTGGGCGCTGGCATTTTTGCGATATTAACCTTAATATGAGTGACGTGGATAATTCATATAAACAGGATATGATCAGAAGCTATCAAAACCAAATGGCCGTTGATATATTTAAATCTATCCCATCCGCTGCTGAATTAGCGTAGAGATATTTCACCTTAATCGTCGTCGTAAAAAAAAATGTGGGAAAACAAGGTTCGGATGCAAACCAAGCAAACACCCGATCATAATTTCGAACAGGCTTTGGGATTTGAAAATCAAAGAGTTGGAATTGACTTACCGAACAACGTCCACCACGATCTCAACAGGACTCAGCAGACGCTGGCACGCACTCTCCATTTCGCCAGAGAGTGTTCCAGGATGACCCGCAAACTATGTCCAGCCCCATAGGACGACGATTGTACGCAAACTTATGTAAACGAGCGCTTCCCGTCTTCCTCCGCGCAGATCCTCACGCCTTCTCGTCTGTCTCCACCTGGTCATCTTTCATCACCGACGCCGCAAACCCGTCCAGTACCATCCAGAATCTTTTCCAAAAGAATTGGTCAAGGAGCTTCTCGTATTCCTACCCCAAAAATGCCAGGCAGATAACTAGACGATTTGCATCGGGCGGTGCTTTGGTTCTTGGAACCTCGCCTACCTCCAATGCGGTGGAATCCAGTGCATCATGCGTTATCTCCTCATCAGAAAAGATAATATGTCACGCCGGCCCGGGATCCCTCGTGGAAAATCAGAGGCTGGAGTGCCTGGCTCGCAGTGCGTGGAAAAGAAGTCTACATACTACTACCGCTTTGACCTCCAAAGGCGATGTGCGACAATCCACCCACAAAAACCACAGAGCGAACCTTCCATCTGATGAAACTGAGACCCTTAATCGATCATCTGCGAGATCACCCCAGTCAGAGCTATCATCGTCACACTCTAGTGGTAATCATGTCTCTGGCAAGACAACTCCTACAACAGCAGGCCATTTCACCGATCGATTACCCCAACGCCCAACCAAAGAGGAACTGCTGGCTGCTGCGACAGGTTTCTGGTCAAGACTCAAAGTGCGCTTCAAATGGTTCTCTATACGAAGTATCCGGCCCTTCAATATAGACGATATAGGCGCTTTCTTTTCATGGATTCTCGTTGGTCACGTTCTTTGGGTGGTGCTGGGTACCACTACCTTTTTCTCTCTGATAATTTTGGCGATTAATACTGTTTTTGCCCAAGGTACGTTTTGATTCCACTAATTCAGGGTCTATAGGTATGCTAAGTGTTGAAATTAGAAACCCTTGCGAGATGGGTTGGCAACTATCTAACCAAGTCTTCCGGGATCACTGTTGTGTTCGAATCAGCTATTGTGCCAAAATGGAAAGATGGCGTCATCACATTCAAGAATGTATTCGTTTCAAGACGTCCTGGTCAAGGTTCAGGGAAAGTGAGTAAAGGTTCATCGAAGACAGCTGCTGAAACAGCTGCGGCAGCCGCGTTACGAGATGAATTAAAAGAAGGCGCCCAACACTTGGATGGAGAGGAAGAGGAAGATACAAATTACACACAATTTGATGTATCAATTAACACCGTTAATGTGACTTTGTCATTTACCAAATGGTTCAATGGCAAAGGTCTTCTGCGAGATGTTGAGGTCATTGGTGTCCGGGGCATCGTGGACAGGACCCACGTGTTGTGGTCAGAAGAAGACCGCGACCCCAAGTCCTTCCGACATGTGCACAAGCCGGGGGACTTCGAGATTGACTCGTTTAAAATGCAGGATCTACTGGTGACGGTCTACCAACCGGGTAATTTTCGGCCGTTCTCTGTCAGCATTTTCTCCTGCGATCTTCCACAGCTCAGACGCCAATGGCTCTTTTACGATTTCATGTCAGCAAACACGATGTCTGGATCCTTTGACAATTCCTTATTTACCATCCATCCCCGACAAGCACATTCCTATACAGGGGTGCAGTTGCACGACGGTAAAGAGGACAATGGGGAAACAAGCCCATGGAAAAAGCATAGTCGAATTCGGGTTGACGGGCTCAATATCGACCATCTAAACCGTGGCGTTGAAGGCCCCTTCTCGTGGATCCATGAGGGCACCGTTGATATCGTTGCTGATATCATGTTCCCGGCAGACAACGATGAGAGTCTGGCCAAAGTCATGTCGGACTTTTACGACCGCCTGGAAGCCACAATTACATCTAATCGATATGAAACGTATCCTCATGGCACCAGCCAAAATATGGAGACTAGGAGTCATGACGATGGCGCAGTTGCTTCAGCTGTAAAAACAGCACGCGAAGAAGACAAGCAAATTGTCGTGACCGATCTTCGAATTCATCTAAATAATGTGCGAGCTGTCGTTCCACTCTTCACCAAGGAACTGTCATATGTCAACAATGCTCTCATTCGACCTATTGTTGCGTATATGAATTCTAAGCGCACCTTTATCCCCATTCAGTGCAGGCTCGTCAAGCGCGTTAGCGATTTTAATGGCAGCTGGACGATTTATGATAGTGGACTGATGAATGACTTGTCGGCAGAGGTAGGTGTTCTCTCAAATTTGTTGTTGTTTTGTTCGTGATGGGCCCTTTAACTAACATGATTCCCAAACAGACATACGAAGCCTTCGAGCAAGATGTCGTCGATGAACAGGCTCGGAAGCGCCGTTTTAAGAAAGTTGGACTGTGGTCCCTGCAACTTGCCGCTCAGGCGATTCTGATGGGCATGGCTGGTAATATCGCATAAGCCTGAAACTGGACATCGCTCCCGGCAGACAAAACACTTGATTTGGCTGGGAACTGTTTGATGATATGTATCGGTAGGGTTGTGGAGTCCTACGGGGGATCCCTTGTAATATTTTCTACCATTTTCTTACTTGTTAATATCTAGGAAAGAGGGTTCATGACAAAAGTTAAGCGGTGGTTTGGAACATTTTCTAGTTTCTAATTTCATTACTGGTTGTACGGTTATTTCCCTATTTTTGTCTTTTACGTTACGCTCCACGACACCTGTTTTATTATGTAAACGATTTGCTTTTATCATAACTATTTATCCCTTCATTATTGCCATATTTTCATATATTTTGTGTCGATTGGTATAGTTTTTCTATTCCATTTCCTCTATGACCACCCTCCACTCTAGAAATCTCCGTACATATACCATCTATCTTTCTGCCTCTGTTTATCTTCTCTTCTTCCTTTCCGATATCCTGTCCTCTGTACATGATTGGACCTATCAAGATGGTGTGCGAGCTAGGTGTACAGTACATACAAACTACAATGGCTTCCACATGCCTTGTCAGAAATATCCATCGAACCCCGATACCTCCTCCATTTAACATGATACATGTACCACACTCTGTCTGACTTTTCAGCTAGATTGGCTGGGCTGAGAACACAATGAGCTCCATGAACTTCATATGTTTTCCCCTGTTTTATTTTTTTTTTATCTATTGATGGTTGCAAGCATTTATTTTTGAAAATGGTAGGGATAAGGCAGAGTGGTGAACAGAGGGGATAGAAGGGAATATACTTACAGTGATGATATTGCCTCGGCATACATATTTTCAAGGGCACACACCCACAAGCTGATAAACATCTGTTTCCTTTGTGTGTTTGTCACACGAAATATTTCGCAGTTTATCTCTTGGCCCCGCTTATGAGGGGCTACCAAAATAACAGAAAACAATACTTGCAGATGCAGTTGCTGGAACACCCAGCCAACATCCCTCATCAGTCCGAAATACGTATGCATTCGCACCTATATGTGCCCGTTGCATATAGGTATATCCGTAAATGCAAAATGCAGCGTCCCCGAACTGTCCGCTGGCCGTTTGATTACGGATGATATGGCTGTAATGGACAAGGCTTTACATCGCATTTGCTCTCAATACTGCTGTCCTCCTTGTCATCCTCCGAAAACGAGATATGGAAACGAAGTTGCTACGCCATCGGGATGGAAATATCACACCTCTCCGACTTCTGCTGGTCCTTCATTTCGGGTTGTTGAAATTTAATCCCGTGTCTCGGTGCCTATGGGTTGAGCATGAGTTAAGACATGCATGACTCACTTAATTTCGTGTTTCCAGACCGAGAATTGAGACCACCAATGACTTGCGGGGAAAATACCTGATAAACAGTGGTGCAACTCCCACAGGTTGAAGAATATCATACACTTGTGCTGCGAAGTTTAGTCATGTTTCGGACCTATTTTTAACCTCACCATGTTTGGCTTCTCTCTTAATTTAAGGTCTATTCACCATCTACGATGGGGTTATATAGTTATATGAATGTCATTCACAGATTTAACTGCCCATTCTGCTAGCAGCTTTTCTTCTCCCCTCTACCTCATCTGCGTATTGCATTCTGGAACTGCGCCGTCATTCTTTAATATCTAGTACAATTTTAAATTTCAATGCCGTTTGATTGCTTGCTCAAGCCTCCTCCTTGAAGCTTCAAAACCTACCAACCTATCAACGTGTTTCTCAAGCGGGGCTGGTGGTCACCATCCAGCTGAAACGCGTCCTAGTCAGCCTGTTGACAACTCGGATTGACGGTGATATTGGGAGAAAATTCCGCCTTCGATAAATGGCAAGAAAGTGGAGCAGTTGAGGATTGATTATAAGAATTGCATCTACCAAATTCGATTAACTCCAAATCCTTTCTTTTATGCTGTCGGTGGTATACTCAGTGGTCATAATCAACATCACTTGGCTAACAACAATATCAGCAGTAAGGTCATATATATAACATCATCACAGGGCTGAATGGATGTCTTATTTCTAGTGTAGCTCAATTCGAGTTACTGTCAATACGGCATTTGTTGAAGACACTTGCTTTCGGACATACCATTTCTACTTTGCACATACGGATCTCAACTACGAATTGGGAGTTGCCGGGTTGGTTATTGAAGATTGGGAATACACCAAAGCGTGCTGTATCATGCATAAATATAGAGAAATTTTATTGGAAAAGCATATAATAAAAACTTCCTAATAAACTGAAGCTCAATGGTTATTTCAAAATTGACACTACACCCTTCTACTTTTGCATTAGCCAAAGGTAGAATCCGAGCAGTCATTTATGAACTGGAGAAATGATATGGTTCGTTCAGGGTGGTGCACTTCTGGTTGTGCCTGGACATAAGGAATAAGTAACCGCCCGGTTCTCTCGAGAGTGAAGACGTGCAATAGGATATATGATATGTAGTACTCCGTATGATATGGAGAAATGTTGCTTCAAGTCAGTTGCTTGACGTCTTAGTCAGCCTGATCCCCTTTTTATCTTCAACGGTCCTTCGTCTCGTCTTCACCTATCCATCGCCTCAGTATCGAATATAATCGGTGTTAAACTGATGTCTGGTTTATGTCGTATATAGACCTTCTATTCTACTAGTCAAGTTTTCCTCGAATAATCCATGTCCTTACATGTCACTCCGCTGTCGTTTTCCCCATTCCATGTTTGCCTGTGACATCGTCCTCCACGTTTTGTAACCAGCAACCATTTTCTGTGCCCACGGTGGATACCATGTCTATGTACTACTGCATTACCATATGTAGTTTACCGAAAAAGAGTCAAACGACATCGTTGTCCGAGCACATAAGCATCTATGAGGAAACAGTCACATAACATCGACTTCATCGCCAGACATGGAGAAACCTTGTGAGAGCACTCACGTCGGTATCACAATTTTTGTGTTACTTGGCCTGTACCCCCAAGACAAGTGGGTTCCTAACTGAAATGTCCATTGTGCTGGGTTTATGAGATCATTTTTGCCAACAACTACAGGCATTTTTGTGATATTTGTGAACTTTCCTTCCCGTCTCACGCTGGGGCCTTCTCCTAGGTTCGAAATATCGAGCCTAGGTACCAGGTTGGACAACCTCAAGCTCTCAGACCTGGCCCTTAAGTGTAGCACCCAACGGCGATAGCTTTCCATGGCCAGTGCTCATGTGGCTTTGTTTGGGCAAAACCTAGGTCTTGGACTAGTGATCAACAAGATCTTGTTGCTCGCCGTACACATTGCATGCTGTCAGTGTCTTTCGTCTCCGCTCCTGGCCCGACCGATCATTTCCATGTAGATAAATTACCTCCCGATAGTGTAAGCCACGTGAGGGGAAGCCTGGGTCGGTGTCCTTTACCTTGATTGTCCGCTCTAGAACCCTGCCATTGAGATCCTCTCAACTCAGACTGCTCTTCCCAGGACGCTGCGTTTAGAATACGTCGAGGAGGTAGCTCCATCTCAACTGGCCCACAACTAGCTCGTGAAGACATCCAACTGAAAACTTGATCGAGGGAAGGATGTGTAAAGGGGGTGCGGTAAGTTCTAGATTTTTGCACAGTCTGATTGAACATTATGGAATAGTTACTGCCCTACAATTTCCAACATCTGTTGTAAGCCCCGTCTAGACCAGAAACTGACAACAAGTTTTTTTGCGCACTATAGTTGCGATCAATTATTGTTTTCCTCCAGACCATTACCATAGCAACGCTTGGTAACTGCAAAGCTCTTTCATTAATGAGTATCCCGTCATACAATTCGAATATGTTCGCAGCCTACCGGATTTGAGAAAAAATCTTCATTGCCTTGGCCATCAGCGATACCGCCCAACTGGGTTAAACGAAGCTAGAGATCTGAGTACAATGCTCTCTATACTGTTTCACAAAGACCAGATTCAGTCGGGAAGAGTGCTGAAGAGTCTGGTTTCTCTGCATATTCTGCTGCAAAATCTGCACTCCAGAAGATGGCTGGATTGACATGTCTGGGCTTTCCAAATCTAACTGTAGCTCTATATAAGGACTGCATAACCGCCTTTTGAATTCCATTATTTTCGTTTCTTCAATCGTCACTGGGTTCAAGCATCAATCTGATTACCCCCCAAAAAAGGCAAATCATACCTTTTTGATTATTGTCTCCTGTTTATTCAATACACATACATATATATCCTTTGATATATACGTTAAGCATTCAAAATGGTTTGCATGAATCAGATTGTCCAATTCGCCATTCTAGGTGCAAGGTATGTGTTTTTCCGTTTTTTTTTTTAAAAAAAAGTAGCATTTGATATTTGACGGCTCTGACATGGGTTCAGCCTTGCTGCTGCGAATCCCATTCCCGGAGATGACCACTATAAAACGCCAAAACCGGTCACAGTGACTGAGTATAAGACGGAGTACAAGACGGACTACAAGACGGACTACAAAACGGACTACAAAACGGACTACAAAACGGAATACAAGACCGCATACAAGACCGAGTACAAGACAGTGGTCAAACCAGTCACCGAATACAAGGAGGTCACCAAGTATGCAACAGTGACCAAGCCTGAATACAAGACCGAATACAAGACCGTGACGGTAACAGACTACAAGCCGGTAACAAAAGTCGAATACAAGCCAGTCACCGTATTCCACACCAAGGCTGTGACTGTTACCGAGTACAAGCATATCACCGTCACCAAGACTGCTGTCCATGAGAAGCCCGTCACCCACTACCAAACCATCACAGAGCCAGGAAAGCCGTACCCTGTGCCAACCACCGTTGTGAAGGTCGAGACGGTCACTGCCAAGAAAGAATACCCAAAGTACGATGACGGAAAGAAGGATGACGGGAAGTACGATGACGGAAAATACGACGACGGGAAGAAGGATGATGGAAAGTACGATGACGGCAAATACGACGATGGAAAGTACGGTGACGGAAAGTACGATGATGGAAAGTACGATGATGGAAAGAAACATGATGGTAATGACGGATATGACGGCAAGAAGGACGATGCCCCAAAGAAGTACGATACCAAATATTAGACGAGGGCTGCTAGCCAACACCACAAGGTAAGTTCCCCCAATATCATATTGATAGTGTCAAAGATTTTTACCGAAAACATATGAGAACTAATATTCACGATCTCGATCCGACAGCGAAATCAAAACGTACAGGGAAAACAAGGGGGGGAATTGGGCAGGGAATGGAAGGATAATCAATCATCATCTCTTGTCTCTCCCACCATTTCTTTGTTTCTTTATATTGTTCGTTTCTCTAATTTTCCTTCTTAATATATTGACCATCCTCTCTTCCAATTCAGCCCAACTCAAACCTGTCCCTTTTGGACAATATATGCCGAAAAATACAAAGCAGGGGGGCCAAGGACAACATCGGTTAATGCATGCCCTAATCATTCCCCATATCCTCCAGCCCCAACAAAAAAACCCTCTTATATTAATTTCGCCTCCCCTTTAGCATTAATTTCCTTATTCTCCATTTTCTAACTCTGCCCAAATGTTTGATTTACGACATGACCCTTCATGTGGAGACGTTTTTATCTTCCCTATGAGAAACGATAAGAAACGGCGGTTTTGGCGCATTATCTCCTTGGGTGCTTAGAATGGAGGAGGAAGATAATTTGGGGGAACCGATGTTGTCATTTATTTCGCATTTTACGGAACATTCGATCTATGAAGTTGATTGTTCGATTTGATATCTGATGGTCGTGATGGTTCCTTTCTTTTTAAAAGACATTTGTCATTTGATATATTAATAGTTTTTGAGGAAGAAGCATGTTTGGATTTTTTTTTTTTTTTTTTTTTTTAGAGAACTTTATAACGCGAGGATTTAAGAGGGAAAAATCAAAGACATAATTACTAGATAATATCGATTTGATCGAGAAATTAAGTTAACTATTGCGGGTTATCTCGTTAAGCTTAAATATAACTATATATATAGTTATTAACCTACTGCAGCTAGCTCCCGCAATTAATCTATGGATTCACCAACTTTAAATCCCCTCATATCCAACGTACGTCATTCTCAATCTCCTCGACAACAGGGCTTGTTCAGTCATGTAGATGAAGAAAAGGGGTTTTCCTTTTGATGTCCGAAAAGGAAATCTACTCTTTATTCTTGAAATTTGGCAAATGTCCCGCGTCTGGACGGTTACATCTCGGATGACACGCTTCTAGATGGACACTGCTCAAAATCCTGGCGCTGACTTTTCCCACAAAGAGGGCAATGACTCGCGTGGCCAAGATTTGAATAACAGGTAAACGACTTTGAGCTTAAAATCAAATGTCTTTTGTCGGATAATATTGACTCGGAGCTCGATTTCTCCATCGATGGACTGGCGACTTCGCGAATTAAAATTTCGGGGCCGAGGTCAGGTGATCATCCATCGGTGCAAATACTCGCAATCACTGTGAATGGGGTCGTAGGAATCTTATCTGTTCAGCAATGACAGGATTTTAATTATTTTAGCTTCAGAGGATGGTGATCGTGACGACTAACTATGCTGAATCCCAAAAATATACAGACTGCAACATTGCCATTGATAAAAGAGGGAGGAATTCCGCCGCCCACCACTACAGCGTTGATATATCCATTTATGGAGGATCATTGACAGTTCAATCGCAAAAATCAAAAAAAAAAAAAAAAAAAAAAAAATCAACATGGGCTGCCATCGTCATTACCTAAATCAAAAGGCAAACCAAATGCATGGCATCTGGGAATATCCTTGTCCAGGTTCATTGAGGTGAATGTGTCTTGGCAGTCTGAGGGTGAGAAGAAGAGGTAGATTGGGATCTGCTGGTAAGCAAGGGGCTCTTGAAGATTTCAAGAGCGTTGAGGGGATGGTGTAGTGGGTTGCATTTGGATATATCTCAAAGGTGATGGTGGTGGAAGAAGACTCGGTCGGATTTCTATGGCACTTCTACGAGTCGTGTGTCATTTTTGTCTAAACACTCCAAAATGCTCAAGGATTGAACCACAAAAGTTAATTTGCAGTTCATTTCAACTCACATCTTGTAGTTTAAATCATAGTTTAAGAGTTTTTAATGCCATCGTCAATTTCACTGCTGGATACAATTTCCTCCAAATCAACAAACATTACCTGAATCAACTCCTTCAAGAACCCCTATTTTTGAAATTCACTGTCAGAGGAGTGCTGACATATCAGGGGCTGAATGATCCTGAGATGGGTGCTGAGTCAAGCCACGTGGAAAAGTCTGAAGTGTTGATTAGCGTTTGTTGGAAATGAGTTATTGAATCTTGGAAAGACGGGTGTGGTTTGAGGCGAGCCCATGGAGGCTTCGCTTATAAGAGGTTTGCTGTGCATTGAAAAATTTGGTGTTTCTAGAGAGCAGCACTCAGCGTCTGAGTTAAGGAACACAAAAAAGAAGCCTGGAATGGCGCCGCCGGGATGGGTGAGTAAGATCACAGAGAAATATCATCTGAACAATCACGCAGTGCTTCCTTGTCTCGATTGTCAGGTTGACGCTCATCTTCTTCTACGCAATCTCAGCCGGACTCCCTGGAATGCTACTCAATTCCAACTGGTGTTCGAATTCCCAGCAACAAGCTCTTTTTTTTTTTTTTTTTTTTTTTTTTAACGTGAGTGTAGAACAGCCTATCTGATCTCAATTCACTCCTAGGCCGCTAGAGCTTCCAGGTAATACATTGATGTAGTGTGTCTACCACATTAAATGTGAGAAAGCAATATCATTGATATTGATATAACTAATGTATATCAAATTCAACGTCAGCTTCCTGAACATGTAAACATCAGCTAATGACTAGACCTACCGTGAATGTATAAATTGACCTCCCAGCCAACTCTCCTCGTAGGAGGTCTGTTCTCCCCAATTTCCCACTCAATGGCTGAGCGGCTGACGTGTAGGAGACCCCTTCTTACCCTCAAGCAAACCATGACCCTAATTCTTTATCTAGGCCCATGCTCATACCCACACTTAAAGCCGTGTGACCGAGCTACCCAGGTGGAACACACACATCTAATCCCCCGGTTGGATTGTCTTACTAGTTCCTATCGTGATGTTGATATGATCAATGCTTAGAGGAGTGAAGAGTAATACTCCCTGCCTCCAAGCACGCAGTGAAGGTTCCTCAATCTGAGTAGAATTTCTTATGAGGTGATTTCTTTGAAAATGCTCTGAACCAAATCAGCAATTGCAAGATGCATAATTGGGCTGGATTTGCGGGTAGCTTCTGCTCCAGTTCCTTCAGGGGATAGCCACAACGGGTAGGTTTGGGGCTGGGTTATGGTCACCTCAGTGGCGTATCTTTGAAAAAACTGTTCAACAGGCTGCATTCCCCCCTCCCCCCTGGTATGGGATATATCATGTCGATACAGGAGTTGAGTATACTCCCACCCCTGCGTCCAACTTGCACAAGTGGAGTCATACTCGTAGTCCAGGTTATCTAAACCAAGCCTCCAATTTGAAGTCACAGTTGTGCATAAAGTATATAACTCAGAGATTCTCAGAATTTCAGGCGGTAGCGGACATGTTTTTGCATGTTCGTAAAGTAACGGGCTGCACGAAAACACCAAGGCAACTTTGGTTTGATAATATGGCCACGGTGAAGATGAATCGAAGGGGGTAAAGTACATGGAATGAACTGCATTTTCTTCATCGGAAATGGCCACTCAGATGCTTATATTTTGCTGGCGGATCTCTAACTAATTGGCAAACAAACAACTTGCCAATTTTCTCAAAATCTCGAAGGGAAAAACTCCTCATCTCAGGGTTGAATGAAATAGACTGCCAAACGCTTATGTAGTCGGCTTTCAGGCTCTCAGCCCATATCGCGGATACAGAACTGAGCTACATGCATGTGAGATAAGTTGTTGTGGTCAAAACATTGATATATTTGCGGTGAGATATTGTGGGACCTATCCATCACGTGACCTGTTCTCCACCAACATGCAAGTCGTTCTCGTAGTTAAGCAACCTCTGCAATGGATCAAGCTCGCCAATCTGTCAGATATTGCATCAGTAAACCCTGGGTATGATTATTCTGCTTGTTATACTTAGATCTCCTCCATAGTGAGGGTTTTGCATCCTCTCACCTTTGTGTACATGTCGTCATTATGCAAGTCAAGCACAGAATGGCATCGAAACCAAGACACATAGAAATAAAAAAGGATCGTCTCAGCCCCAAGATGTTCTCCATAATTGCTGATGGGGTGTTTGATGCTGGTTTCAAATCTTGTTTTTCCATGCCATGTCAATAATGCCAGCCATGATAATAATATAAGTGTCATGTCTGGGAATTAGTTCGATTGGGTATTTGAATTATAATTAGAACCCTGAAGGAGGAAAAAAGAAGGAGAATATAAATAGCTCAGCTCAGCATCTAAATTATATTCCTTCCATGAAGTTGAATATCAGGTTTATGAATCAACACCTGCTGAGCTCTCAACTGCTGATATTCCTGCTTTTGCCCCCTTTCTGACTTCTCAAGGGCGGGTACCATTACTATTGTTATTATTGGTATTACCCTATCATGAAGACGCATTACAGAGCAGGTATTTCTTGTTTGATGTGTTAATAATAGTCAAACAGAGAATCAATGGTCGAGGATTAGGTCGATGTATCGTGCATATACCCAGTGGCAGGATAATCGGGAATCCTTCATGCATTGCATATTTAGCTGCCGATGTAAAAGATATTTCGTTAACGCGGGGTTGAAAAAGGGTGTTCTGCAGCTTTACTAAAAATTTATTTAGCCTGTCTCTCTCTCTATCTTCAACGGACCAAGCGCAAGCCTCGGATGCGGAATCCTCAATTAGAACTTCCAAGTTAGAACTTGCACTTTCATGGGCGATGCTCGAGTCAAAGCTTTTAAGCAGCAAGCTTATATTTTAACTTTCTGTTTTCTTTTCCTTTTGTCTCCGTTGTTTATTTCTGTTTATTCGTTGGAGCCGAGGAGGTACGGAACAAGACAGGTAGAGGGTGATTCTCTTCAAGAATAAATGGGAAATGTTTTTTTCCATTTTTCGTGGGATTTATCTCTTTCCATAATTATTCCGTCTCAGAAGTGGGACATTTAATATAAATGTGGGGATTGGATGAAAGCGACTGGCGTTGATAAGCTGAAAGCTGGTGGTTTCTTTTTTATCTTTTGCGGAAGAAAAGAACTGGTTCAGCTGATTAAGTCTGGGGTTCCACACGTACCTCAGCACTGCCTATTGAATAGTTATATAACTATGAAGAGAGAGCTGTTAGCAGCAATACCGTGTAATGGTGGCCAGAGACATTACAACAGGTTTATGCTGTGCTTGCATTCCGTGGGTAAAAGAGGGTAGACCGTCTCACCGCACTTGAAGAGAGGGAATACCATGATCTGTTTATTTCTCTGTTTCATATATTTATTTGTTTATTTTACTTGGGTGTCTCTTTATTTAGTTAGTACTTATTTCTTCCAAGACTGTTTTCAACGTCTTAAAATCTGGCGATGATGAATCATGATATGTATTAGTGACGTAACGTGACTGACAACTTAACACCACCCACTGACCACTCAACTACAGTAAAAAAAAAAAAAATTAAAAAAATTAAAAAAAATAAAAGATGTATGCGAAGTAGTTATTTGTTTGAGATAGGGAGTAGAACAGCATAGGAAAAGAGAGAGACGAGGGTAGAGGAAGGAGAAAATTCCCAAAATAAATAAATAAAAATACAACGTAGAAATAGAAATCGAGTGAAATGCAACGGAAACTCAATTAGTTAACCAAATCTCGACATTTCTTCTCTTTGACAACCAATCCAAAAACATCTTCGGTTGCAGAAGAATAGTTATTCCGCAGGCCCCGCATGTGGGTCTATTTCAACATCCTCTCAACTCCATTCCCCATTATTCTTCATTTCTCCAGCTTGTCGAACATTCCATTCCAACTACCTGCTTCTCCAAGGACCACCTGCGTGGACAAAGAGGGACCAGTGGCACAGTTATATATACCAATGAATCTGGGATTTGAGGCTGTAAACAAAGAGGTAAATTCAATCAATTGAACTTTGTGTGTTGGAGCTTCTTTGAACTGTTCCGAGACATCTACCCGTCTTCTTTCATTTTACTCCATCTGATAACTAAAGAGATAATAAGAGGAAACGATGTAGAGGAAGCAGAAGACACAGAAGACACCAGCAGAAAGGGGTTGTGTGTTGCAGAGACGAGAACTAAGTCTCCAGCTAATCTCCTTAGCTCCTCTCACCACCACAGGACAAGTCTGTATCAATTGAGCTAGACAAATATTCTGACCCCCTACCCCCGGTGGTGCATCCATGTCACAGGTTCGGCGTCAATTTCAGCCCAGCGAGGGTGGCCGTAACCCAGCATCAACATCACCACAGCCAACAACCACAGTTACAACAACAACAACAACAACAACAACAACTATCTAGTTACTATCACCACTCTGTCTCTGTCTCTTCCTGTCCCTCTCCTCGTTCCTCTCCTCCATCCACCGCTGACCACCTGAGAGGACGCCCTCCTCTCCATCTTTCCTCCCCATCCATCCCCTTACCCACGCCCCCCCTAGGCGACCCCTGCTGAACCCCTTCTGTGGTTGACAAGTTCCACCAAGACTTCAAATACGCCGGGCCCCCCCTGGATTCCCGGGGACTACTTGGCCATCTCGGACACTGGCCACTCTGGACATCATAATAATATTTCCCCTAGCAATATTACAAGTCCTTGCAACTACCTACCCTCACAGAGTCAACTCCATCAACCGCTGCTCCAAACACCCATTCCTACCTCCTGCTCGTACCACGTCACTCGCACGCTCGCACACCAGAACTTGCTCACGGACATACCATCCATCCGCCTCTATTCCCCCATTGCCATCCGTCAACCAGGGGGGATTCCGGGGATTTGCCAGTGTGTGGCTCACCTACATCGATATATTCATCTACATATACCCCTAAACGTACTCCCTCTCCTATCACACCTCCCATATCTGCAACTACACCTAAAATCCTGCTTTCCCTGGCCTTCATACCACTATCACTACCGCTGCTGCTGTCTCCGGCACGGATCTAATTCTGACCCAGTCGCCAGACCTGATCCAGAACTCTCCCGTACACCCAGACCGACTGACCGGCTCGTCGCATGCGCGGGGCCGGCCCAAATGGGATCATGCCGAAACCTTCCTCCTATGACCAGCTGCGAAAGACTTCTGAACCTCCTCGCCCTGTCACGATGAATAGTAATGATAATAATCAAGGTAAAGATAATAATGATACCACGAATACTACCAGTAGTGGTAATAATGGAGGAACCCGTGCTGTTACATCACCGTCTTCATTATCAGCCTTCCCTACCCCCTCTGCCTCCAACGTTGCCCTCCACTCAGCCGTGGGCAATCGCATTAGAACACTGCCTCGAACCTCCTCAATAGACTCTGCTATCTCTTCTATCTCTTCTGCACATTCGCATAAATCGTCTCTCGACACTGGTACCGTTTCCCCGGAAGAGATCGCTAGTATCATTGCCGCTGCCGGCTCCGCGGAAGCGGTCATTATACATCTGCTCAAGGAGAAGCAGCAGGCTGCATCGCAGAATGCGCAGTTGTGGAGATTAGTAGATAAGCAGCGCACGATGGTTCTAGGATTGAATAAAGATCTAGAACGCGCTGTGAGGGATAAGGAGCGTTATAGGAAGAAGCTTCATGAGCTGCAGAATAGCGCGCCTGCTGTTCCTAAGGCATCTGCGCAGACGGGAGGAGGAGATAATAACGTTTTCAATGGTAAGATTTGTATAGTTCATTCTCGTTTAGTTCTTGAGAAAAAAGATCTCTATTTCTAATAGACATGATTTATTCTCCAATCTACAGATACAGTCTCTGGACTTGATGAAGCAAAACTTTTGTCAAACGCAACAGGCCAGAGTTTACAGGATGGCACTTCAATTTACACTACGTCATTTCATGTGTCTCGTTCGCAAACGGAGCATTCGCTAAATAGAGGAGGTACTCCCAATTCAAATCTATCCAGCCCCTCCGCAAGTGACAGCACGAGGACAGAACAGCGGACGGATAGTAGTAACAATAACAACCAGAAATTGCACCATTCTCCCACAGACTTGTTTATGCATGAAAAGCAAAGTAATCCGGCGCAAATATCAAGCATTAAAGTCGATAACGACAAGACGGATTCATCTTCAAATGATACTTACAGCCAGCATCTTAGGGGGACTGATATGCTGAAGCAAACACCGCCTCTCAGAAAACCACCTCCCGCTCCACTGAACCTTAGACAAACCGAAAAAATGCATTCCCCGTCTTCACGAGCAAATATAGCGGTTGGTGACGACTCGGATTACGGCGAGACGATGGACATCGACGAGATTCCCAAAACAGAGAAGCGCGGTAGAAGAAAAACTAGAGAAGAAGACGATCGCGAGCGTGAGGTGCTGTTGCTCAAGGAGCAAGCTGCTCGCAGCGCATCGAGTAAAATGAAATCAAAAATGCAAAATCAGCAATCCGAGGCTATGCAGAGTATCCACATATCACGGTCTCAGGCCTCTACGGGAATTAACCCTCAGGCTGGGAATCGAATAGTTGCCCACTCTCCACCCGCGGGGCTTTCTGGACAAATCCAACCGCTCGACTCGCTTGCGTCCATGTTGAGCCCACCCGTGAGCGATTCGGCCTCATCTGATAAGGACAGGATGGTCATCTCTCCTCCCATGAGTCCGGGGTTGCCACTGAGTCCACGACCAGGAGATCGTCCGCTGGGTTCTCCGCTCCCTCGTTTCCCCAAAGACTTCCAAGGTAATTTAGCATCGCCGCCTATTTCGCCGAGACACGGCCTCCCTCTGTCTCCTCGTGCCAACAAAATTCCTCCCGCTGCCTTTCCTGACCCCGTGACGACGTCTTCTCTTGCTGCAGCTGCTTCTACAGTGGAAAGTAACTCTCCCACGAAACCGTCCGATCCTCGAATTCCGTCCCTTGTTAAACCTCAATTTGAGCGTAACACGAAGCTAGACATTCCAACCTTCGATTCTTCCGTCAAGATCGACAGTCCCACCACCACTTCTTCCCAGGAGCCCTTAGACCGCATCTATCGGGGCCTGGTCTCAGACCAATACCCCGATCTCCTCTTACCTCCCAACGCCCTAACTTCCATCGACATCAAAGTTGCCTCATCCCGCCTACGGCCGTCGCGTAATAGCTACCTTGCCCTAAAACCAGGGGAGGAAGAGCCTGTTTTCACCCTTAGTGTTTTTTCGCGGGCGAACCGTGCAGAGCTATGGCGGGTCGAGAAGGTTATTCTTGCCCTGCCGCAGTTGGATCAGCAGTTGAAGCAGGTATCCAATTTCTCCGGAAAATTGCCGGATCGGTCGATTTTTAGTGGTCATTCACCTGCAAAAGTGGATGCGAGGCGAGCCGCGCTGAACAGCTATTTTGAATCTATACTTGAGACGGTTACGGATGTGGCGGGTGCGCTGGTGGTGTGCCAGTTTCTCACGGCAGATGCGATTGAGCCGCGGGATGATGAAACGAGTTTAATCAACGGGGAACATAAGGGGAGGCCTTCGTATCCGCTAGGTCCTGATGGGAAACCAAGGATTGAAGGTTACTTGACAAAGCGGGGGAAGAATTTTGGGGGATGGAAAGCACGGTATTTTGTCCTCGATGGTCCGGAGTTGAGATACTATGAATCACCTGGTGGACCGCATATGGGCACTATTAAGATTCATCATGCACAGATTGGCAAACAGTCTCAGCCCACCAATACCAACCAGTCTCCTTCTCTCGCGGATGACGATTCTGATAATCAGTATCGACATGCCTTTCTCATTTTGGAGCCGAAAAAGAAGGACTCTTCTGCACTGGTGAGGCATGTGCTCTGTGCGGAGAGTGATGAGGAGCGGGACTCATGGGTTGAGGCGTTGTTGAGTTATGTGGAGGCCCCGGACGAGGAGGAGGATGCTGGTCGCTATCACCAACATTTCAACCATAACTATACTCAGCAATTATCGAAGAACGACGGCTCCTCCAAGGCTTCGCGTCTGCTCCCCTCCAGCTCTCGTAAGGGTAGCAAGGAAATAGATAGCCCCGAATCCCTCGATTCGTCTGATAAACTACGCTCCTTCAGCTACGACGACGTCGTTGCCGCCGAAGCGCCTGTGCGTGGACAGTCCGGCAACAAAAACTCCTCACAGATGCCATGGGATCAAATTATGCATCAATGCACACCACAAACGTACTCCGCCAAGAACATATCCGGTCCCACGAATGGTGCTAAAATCCAAGATGCAGGCGCGTGGGGTAACAAGGTCGCTCCATCTTATCCTTCCGCTCCATCAACGAGTACGAAAGAGAAGAAGCGGTCCATCTGGGGATTCCGCGCGACAACCTCGACAGATCTAGCCAGCCAGCATCAGAATCATGACTTGAGCAATATTTCGCCAACGGAGCGGCGGGAGCCTGTTCGAGCGGTCTTTGGACTTCCGCTCGCGGATGCCGTGGAGTCTTGTGGCGTTCCTGGTCTTAAGACGGGTTTGCCGGCGGTTGTGTATCGGTGCATCGAGTACCTGCGCGCCAAGGATGCGGCATTGGAGGAAGGCATATTTAGGCTTAGCGGGTCGAATGTGGTTATCAAGGCTCTGAAGGAAAGGTTTAATACGGAGGGTGATTTGGACTTTCTTGCTGAGGATACGTATTATGATGTTCATGCGGTCGCGTCGTTGTTTAAGCAGTATTTGCGCGAGTTGCCAACGACTGTGCTTACGAGGGATTTGCATTTGGATTTTATACGGGTGCTAGGTTAGTTTTTCATACCTTGTTCAATTTATCATGTAGAATTCGGTCTTGCTAACAATATGACGTAACCCAGAACTCGAAGACAGACAGAATAAAAGAGCCGCCTTTAATGCGCTCGTCCATCGCCTGCCTACACCAAATCTAACGCTCCTGAAAGCTCTATCCCAATATCTCATCGACATCATTAACAACTCAGATGTGAACAAAATGACCGTGCGCAACGTCGGCATCGTCTTCGCGCCAACCCTTAACATTCCCGCCCCCGTCTTCTCCATGTTTCTCACAGACTTTGAAAGCATCTTCAGCGAACCAGTTGGTGACTTTTTGATACGGCCTGTGGAGATTGCAGTGGATAATAGGGCCGCGGGAAGGCTGGCGCCGGAGGATATTCGATCGCCTAGACATCAGATCTTTTCAGATTTGCCGACGCCGTCGTATAGCCAGGCAACCTTCCCGATGTCGGACGGGCACGGAAACCCACAGCAGCGACGAGAGCGGGACCGTGACAAGTATGACACAGGTTTCATACCCATGCAACCGACATATGAGCAGCATGTGCTGGGTGCTGCGGACCCGTATAACTCCATGAGCAGCTTGCTAACACCTCCAGGTGGCAACAATAGTAATAATAATAACGGTAATGGTAATAGTAATATGGTGGCGACGAAGGCCAAGCGCCGTGAGAGTAATTTGCTCTTTATGAATTTGGGGAATAGGAGAAGTGGGATGCCAGGAAGCCAGAGGGGGAAGGATGATAAATGTGTGTTCCCTTTTTGCTTTTCTCCCCCCCCCCCCCCCCCCCAACTTTAATTGGTGGCGGTGTTATTCTGACTATTTACCCTAAAAAGCTATGGTTTCTGAGGACTCTGCATTCGAGTGATGACATGGCATGACATGATATGACATGATGCACGAACGAATACTTTCTTGGACTCCTGTTGAGGAAAGAAAGAGGGCTAGACACACCTGGTCTTGCGCGTTACTTTTCTACCTCCTTTCCGCTACTTTCGCTGGCGATACACGTACCATATATTGATATACATGCCTATGGTTTTCTTTATTCTTCACTTCCGACCGCAAGAGAAATGTGAGGAAAGGGGTGAATTAGTGGATGGACGATTCGAAGCTATTGGCTTTTACCCCGCGCAAAGCCCGCCCTCTTTTTTCGAATACATCGCTTGTTGGGTGTAAAATTCCTACATGCAGTTGTGTAATGCTGAAGAATGAGGAGGCGAAACAAGTGAGACTAGGAAGGCGGAGACATGGAGGGTTCATTTGATATGATTTCTAGCTCCTCTGCGTTTAGATTTCTCTCTAGCTCTTTTATACTATACCCTCGTGCTTGTTAATTAGGTTCTTGTTTCCGTTTCGTCTTTCCATCCATTTGTCGTACTTGGCTTGATTCTCTCTTCCTCTGTTTATTTACTTTCTTACATGATATTTTTATTTCTTAGATGATGATTTGAGAGAGATAGAGCTGGTTGATTTTGCTATGTGTATGATACAGATTTTCTTTGATTTCTCTGGACCTTTGTCTTAAAATTCTTCTCTTCCTTCTTTTGCCTGATATGATGATGTATTTTTTCTCACTCATACTATCATCTTCTCTTTCTCTTTTTCATCTTTACAGTCTGTTCATCACCAAATGATAATGATTGATAAGGATAGGTGACTTGTTTTAGGATTTTATTTTTCTCTTTTTCTCTATTTCCTTTTTTTTTCTCACTTATATCTTTATTCTCTCCTAACTTCTTTTCTTCAGTTCTTCTTATTTCATGTGTTCTGGCTTTCTTCTACTGGTAACTTTGAAACCTTTTTCTATTCTCATTCCCCCAACATTTTTCATTTATACATCACACCTATTGCAGCATTTTAACCTCCTTTCCTCAATTGCCTTCCATCTCCATTTAGTTCGTTTCTTCTGGACCAGTTCGTTCCTGTATTCATTCTACTTCTCTTATTTTCAAACATGCTGTTGGACTTTCCGGCTTCTTTAACATGAGTTAATTCAATGCACATGGTTCCACAGAATATATGATATTAATCTACTGTACATCCAAATAATAGTGAACTAGATTCAAAGCGAGAAATTTTTCAGCGCAAAATTCCAAATTGATTTAGTTAACCTGACCTCCTCAGAAGAATTGAATTATTTTGAATATATCGCTTACATCTTTGCCTTGCCTCTCGTCTTTATGTTCGGCCCCCCCCCCCTTTTTCTTTTTTTTTTTTAAAAAAAAAAAAAAAAAAGGAGAAAAGAGAAAAGCAAAAGTAAACAAAGTAATTACATATACATGAAAGCGATGATTTTTTTTTGTGGCTCAGCTCTTTTATAGTCCAACCCTGCGAATATATACAGTTGAAAAGCTATTAAACAATAATAGGAAGAATAATATTGAAACAAATAACAGGGTACCATATACATCCACAACGATGCTGTGGCCCTAATCCCTGGGGTTTTTTATCGTTCAAAATCAATGATAACCTCCAGCTTAACAGGACCAGGAGGCAAATTACCACCAATACCGCCCTTTGCGGCGTCCTTGGCTGTATAGGCATTGTTCACACCTCCGCCAGGGCTGATTGACGAGCATTGGCCATTACCACAGATTTTCATCCCTTGCACCTGTTGACCAGCCAGCTGTGCCTGGATCGCAGAGACGTCAAAGCCAGACCAGCCATAATTGACCTCGCTGCCAAAATCGAATTCACCCCATGTGGACGAATACGACCCATACTTTCCCCTGGGAAGTGCGTTGCCAGGAGCCGCGCTGAAACCCCCCTGTGTGTTCTCGTCAAAGGCCACAAATTTGTGTTCCCCTGGAGCGAGGGAGAAGGAGAGGGCCGAGTTGCCAAAGTGCCCATCCAGTTTGCCTGTAGGGCCGATTTTGTTCCAGATGACTACGAGCCACGTTTCGGTGTTTTGTCCTGAGAATTCGGCGACGTATTTGTACTTGGATACGTCTGCTTCCGAAATTTCGATGATGTTGCTGCCCCAGGGGTTACCAACGTTGCCTACGTAAGTGTACCCGCTGCCGTGGCTGCTGGTGCGGGCGCCGAAGCCAGTGTTGGTGTAGCTGCCAGATGCTGGGGAGGGTTGGCCCATGGATGTAGGATGATAGGGCCGTTGTTGCGGGGGGTAGGCCATGCCAAAAGAGCACATGGCGCCCAAGAGCGCCAGGGTGATTTTGAGTTGCATAATGGCGTAGGAATATATAAATAGGCAAGAAAATAAAAGTCCGAAGTTTTCGAACAAATGGATTATATCAATGTAATACTTGTATGTGGTGAAAAATAGAAGAATTGAACCTGCTTCCACGGTGGGTAGGCATCATTTTTTATACATCCAGCGTATCTAAACACACGCATTCTCCTGTTGTAAAAGCTGGTGTCCCCATAGAACCACAGAGCTTGGTACCGAGAGATCCCGTCCCGCCCTCCCGAAGTACCAGTTCCTGAGCGGAAGGTTAATAATAAGATTGAGCACGATCCAGCCAGGGGAAGACAGTGGGGACTGGTGTGTATGCGCAATCACGCTGCCACTGAGCAACAACCATGGTCCGCCTGAATATATCGGGATAAGATAACAGATACTTTCCATAACGTTCTCTCAAGGCGTTAGAGGGCAAGGTTTGAAGAGTTATGGCAGTCTCAAGAAAGTAACTCATGGCATCTGTTAAAACTAGTTCGAACAAATCCATTGGTTCATGGAGAAGAAGGCAGTGGGGAAAGGCGCAAAAAATTAGGTCACTGATTTTCTTCTATGACATGATTCTTGATCATAGTATCAGTATATTCAGGTTCCTTAACATGTCTGATCTCCGTGGTCCACGCAAACCATTGTAAACTAGCAACGAATTGTGGTCCTTTGAGTGCGTAATGCCACAAAATTCAAGTTGAAACAGGCTACTCCATTCACCCGACTGGGGGTTAGACGAAGCACTCCTCGTTTAACGGAGAATGAACGGTTTCCGGTCGAGAGAGGACTGGATGAAAAGTTAACTGGTTAGACGGAGAGTCGAAAGACATGTGTATATTATTAATAAAGGATTAAAATTTCCAACACATGGACATTTGTAAAAGAGGAGAGATATGTGGCGGATCAGGGGTAGAACCCGATCCACGGCTGAAGTGAGGTGCCGAAGAGGGCAGCTAATGGATTAAGCTTAAGACGTGTGCTCTTGAGAAGGCGTGCTTGGGAAGATAAATAGATATCCATGGCTAAAAATACAGCCGCTGGGCTGCCGCACGTGAGCTGCGAGCGAGACAAAAGCACGCATCTCAGGATAGGTATATTGCATTCTCCTGTGTAGGTCTTGAAGTGAACGAACGGGTGAGAAGCGGCAAGAAAAAGTTTGATGCTTTAAAGCTAGGGTTAGGGTTAGGGTTAGGGTTAGTTGGTTAGTTAGGGCTAGGGCTAGGGCTGTGATTATATAAGCGTTAGACACTTGAGGTCGTACTTAGGTAACGTGACATTGCGCCGAGTCGGAAGTTCCGCTTGGTTCCAAGCTTCAGTGATTAACCCATGCCGAATATCTGAGCGGAGGTTACATACCGAAATGTATGGAACTGTTAGGGAACATATGCCGTCCACGGGCAGCTCCAGATTAGCTTCGAGCATTCTGGTGGTCGCCGGATTAACTATAGCTAATGATTTCCCGTTGAATCCAATCTCAGATCTGCTTTGAGCGATTTCTCCCTAACAAACTGCTTTGCGGCTTTTCCTTCGCGACGTTCCAAAATTACACAAGGACACCCCTGAAGGGAAACAAAGGAGAGCGCAGTCGTTTGCATGAGATGTGGGACATAAAATCAGGCATCTAATGCTTGTGATGAGAAAAACGCGACGTCAACTGAGCAACCTCTGCTTGGCGTCTCCTCTCCAGCAAAGTTTTCTTGGTTGCAGAGCTGACCTGGTAGATCTGGACGGCTAAACGGACAACCATTTGGCGGCATCCATATGCGCATGGGGCATTTGATTTATTTGCGTTTTGGGTTGAATCACATCATGGAAGCGTCAAATAGAGTGATGTTGCAGCTCGCATGACCAATGTTAAGAACTGCGAAGATCTAGAGAAAGCTGTCCTCATCGCTACACAACGTAACGTTAGTGAAGCTGAGTAGTGAGCCTCCATCTTAGCGAAACGGTCGAGGTCGGAGCGCAGCCCTTCAGCATGGCGGGAAAGAGTTCACGTCGCCATGGAACGTCCACCTTTACAGCGAAGACAATTTTGTAACCCAAAAGGTAACTTTATTGCCACCTAGAGCAAGAGAAGCATTGGGCTTTCTCTCTGCGCAATTTATGACCTTTGCCATCAAGGTGTTGCCATATTATCTGAAGCATTGGCATTGCCAACGCACAGCCTCTTCGCCAGACCTGCAGCGCTTCCCCCAACTCTGCCATATTGCACAACAAAAACCCAATGTGATGAGCGAAACTCCTTTTCTGGCTTCCTTCCTCACATTCCCTGCTCTATAACCATCAGCCCCACGGGTATCGCCCCTATCTTACGGAGTGCTTTTGTATGACCCAAAAACCTGCCGTCATGTGTCTGGAGCTTGATAACCCGAATTTTCGCTGATTGGCCCACTGAATCTGAAAAGGGCCACAATAGCTGAATATACTCATCCGCCTACAGTTGGAGGACTATGGACAGGCTCTTCCATAACATCCCTTGTCTTAAGAAAATATATGGCATCCTGCCTGGCTCTGGTAAATGGAGGGCTCACCTACCAGTATCTTGGAGGGACACGACTCTCAGATGGCATCAGGTGGATCACCTATTCCGCGTGCTGAAGAGGCCTTTCTACGCTTCATCACTTCAGCGCGAAGGTCAGAACTTCATCTTATACTACCCCATTATCTCCATGGAGCCAGCCTGGCGAGTCCAAACTAAACATGAGCTCTCTTGGCGTCCAGCGCCACGCAACCGGTCGGGTCATCTCCGCTTCAAAAGAGGCCCAGAAGCTGATCAGACTGATGTCAACACCGATGAATTACTCCGGGTGTTCGAAGAAGATAGCGATGTAACTGGCTCCGCGTTCTTTGATGAGGATGATGTGAGTTGGACGATGAAGGAAAATCCAGTCTCTCAGACAACCGCATCACAAATGCCTCCTACTTATTCAAGTCTTCGCCTCATACCCAACATCTCCTTAACCCCGGCATAATCGGGTCACTTATTGCATATATATAGCTGGGCGGAACTGGTTCACTGTCGGGGTCTCTGGTATGTGGCTATCTGGTAAGATCCGGTGATGCGGAGGATTCCAGCTTCACAATGGTATGAAAAGAAGCTGCTACGCCAAGCCAATTTGACTTTGATGGCGTATTAGGTTTAATCAGACTGTAGTTCGGCTTGGCAGCGTAGCATAGAACCAAAAGCTGTGGCAAGTACAGAGTAGGCGTTATCACCATACAGCGAAAGGTTCCATTAAAGTCCGAAGGGTCTGGTTCCTCCGCTGCTTCGAGAGCGTAAACCACATTACAACCCTTGTTGTGGCATATCCAGACTCTGGCTTTCAAAAGCGTAGTAAGTGTTCAATCAGGTTTTCTTCCAAGGTTGACCGGCTTCCGATCCCGATTCCCAGACAGCTTTTCGGCAACACTCAAACCCACATTGCTGACTCCGGTGACTAAGATCCACGGTGGTTCGTCCTGGAATCAAGGCTGCAATGAGCAAGAGAGCTTGTCCCCGATGTCACATTCGACAGTTGTATTAGCTGACTAATTTAGTTATGCCGTTGCCGTGGTAGTTTATCTTAAAATCGAGTCTTGATTAATCCGCATCGTTCCAGAATCCGCAATGTGGATAGATATACCCAGTCAGATCAACAAAATTTGGGATGGGCCTGGGTGCATCCATTAATTGACCAAATATTCTCTCCGTTGTGCTGATTCTTCGAGTAGCATCGTGACATGTAGTGGCGTAGATGCAATGAGACTCACCAAGCAACCCTTTTATCCCGCTCCTTTTAGTGAATCTAATTCATATTCATATCTTCATAATCACAGGTCAAGTAGAGAGCTAGAGATACAACGTGTCCACCTGCCTTCCCATAGTTTCATTAAACCACTTCATAATATTGAAATCAATCGTTAAAAATAAGCAACAATAAACGAGAAATGCCCACATATGCCCGCCAATTTAATCATAGACAAAGAATTAATATACAACATCCACAAGCCAAAAAGGAAAAAGGATTTTGCAATTGTATCAAAACCTCCTCGTCTTGTCGCCCCTCCAGAACCCCATAAGCTCACCCGTGTCCCCCATCCACTCCCGTACGCCATCCACCAAGGCCTTGGCCATGCCCTTATTCTTCAACTTCTTATCTCGATCAGCCTGCGATGACGCGGCTGTAGCACCTGTGGCATACTCGGAGCCCATACTTGGGAGCACATTCTCACCCGCGCTCAGGCTCACAAACAGCGCAAACGGCACCAGCCACACACACAGCCCAAAGTACGATGCAACCTCCGTGAAAGACGGCAGGTCTGGTGGCGTGTCGTAGTAATGATGTTGTCTGTTGGTACTTTCATCTGTTGTCCAGGGCATTGGGGAACCTTGCAAGAGGGATATCGGGTCCGAGAAGTGGCGGAACCAGAGCCAATGGTTGAGGCCGACGAGAAGGCATGAGGTGATGAAGATGGGATCTGAGAGCTTGACAATGGGGAAGCGGCGCAGGTTGAGGGAGTAGATGTAATGGGAGATTATGCTGAAGGAGCAGAGAGTGAAGGGAAGATGGTCGACTAGGCAGAGAGGGATGTGTACGGCTATTATGCAATAGATGAGACGGGAAAGAAGGCGGCGGGCAAGCACGGTGTGTTCTTCGACCAACTCGGAGAGATAGTAGAGGCCGGAGGCTAAAGAAGTTTGTTAACTTATCTATTATTTAATATATGAGGTATGGAGGGTTCATTTCTTACCTATGGCGAGGGTGAGGAATGCAAATCCTACCACTAAGCCCAGGTAGCCGACCAAAGGAAGAATCCACATGTTGCGGCGGGAGAATTTACAGAGGGAAATAAGAGGGAAATAGATTCTTCGGTCTGCGCGTGGAATACAGAAATGTTCTGTTAAACCGACATCTTGCTGTATGTGTTGCCCGGTATACGAATATACAGAAACTATGCAGAATGCTGTGGTGAAGTTGTCCCTTTAAAACGTTGGCAGACGGACATTTGAGGTGCTTGATGTTGTTCCCAAAGAGGAAAAAAGCAACCTCTTGAATTTTCTCACAGCCACCAACTTTTTATTACTTTTAACCACTCCAACGATTCATAAAAATATTAAATACACCAGCGCGCTGAAAGCTCCTCAGCTTTCAAAATACAGGAGAGGAAGAGCAGGATAACAGCATATTACCACGAAGAAGAAGAAGAAGAAGAAGACCCAATTAATAGGAATACCCCATTTTTTTCGTATGAATATTTTATGCAGAGGGGCACATTTTCTCCTCTTGACCACATCAACAACCACACAAAATGTCCCGTCCAGAAGATACTCTGTATGTTGTTTACAAATGTTCCAATAATATTACTGTAATTTCTCTATTCTTAAAGCCTCCCTCTGCTAACGTTTGATATACAGGCCCCCCGATCTCTTCTACAATGACTCCGAATCCCGCAAATACACTACCTCCTCGCGAATCCGCAACATTCAATCAAGCATGACCCAACGCGCCCTCGAACTGCTTGACCTCAAATTCCCCTCTCTCATTCTAGACATAGGCTGCGGTTCTGGCTTATCAGGAGAATTGCTCTCTTCCGTCCCGCAGTCCGAAGGCGGGCCGCACACTTGGATTGGCATGGACATCTCACCTTCAATGCTGGACATTGCTTTGCAGAGAGAAGTTGAGGGTGACCTGTTTCTAGCAGATATCGGACAGGGCGTTCCATTTCGTGCTGGAACGTTTGACGCTGCTATTAGTATCAGTGCCATCCAGTGGCTATGTAATGCTGAATCCAGCGATGTTAGTCCTGAGGGCAGATTACGCAGATTCTTCGACGGGTTATATGCTAGTTTGCGTCGGGGTGCACGTGCTGTGTGTCAGTTCTATCCCAAAAATGATGCACAAAGGAGCATGATTAGCGGTGCGGCGATGAAGGCTGGGTTTGGCGCTGGTATTCTCGAGGACGATCCGGGGACGAAGAATAGCAAGCTCTACCTTGTGTTGACAGTTGGCGGAGGTGGGCTGCAAGGGGATATTACTGGCGTGGTAGAAGGTATGGATGATGTTGATATCTTGGATGCGAGGAAGAAGGCTATGGACGGTCAATCCAAGGGGAGGAGGAGAGGTGTCGACCCAGCCCATGTCAAGGGCACCAAAGCTTGGATTACGAGAAAGAAAGAGCAGATGGAACGCAAGGGGAAAATTGTTAAACCTACATCAAAATATACTGGCCGGAAGAGACGTATCGCATTTTGATCGCGTATCCCTTCCTTCTACCGTCCATACATCTTGTCGACCCACCCCACAAAATGCCTCTCTACCGGCGCACGCGGGGGTGGGACGAACCTGCTACAGAGCTCTTTCTACTAGGGGATGATTGAGAGGCCCGTCATAGAATAATGCGAACGGATTACCCCATAAATTGGCAACTCTATGGGAGAAAAATGCCTCATGTCTCCGCCCCGCAAATCCTCTAAATAAACCCGCCCCATTACCACTGGGGATATTGCAACGTCATACGATCCCAGTCTGACCAAAAGCTTCTAACAAAAACCAACCCCACCCACCACTCCCACTTAATATGAGATTTCTATCCATCTTATTCCTTCTAACCCGACCGCAGGGGCAAACACAAGACGGCGACGATTTGCTCGTTTAGGAAACAATGAACACCGAGGAGGACATCGTTGTATTCAATTGAACTTGAAAAACATGATATATGCCTAATTCTATCGATAAAATTAGAACGACAGAGACTTGGTTCCAGGGAGCTGATTGTATCATTCATCCCATTCAGCCCATTCCGCACCAGGATGGATGAAACGAAGCGGGAAACAAAATCTTACTAGAATCAAAGAAATAGATTCCAAAAGAAAATTCCTCGAAATAGAGACAGGATGGGAAACGTGTGAACAAAAAATTTCAAACCGGCTCAGGCGCCTACATGCTTCATAGTTTATTTCCCTTCGAGTCCGACTGCTACCCCAATTCACGCTATCTCTACCTCTCCGCAAACGACAAAATTATATATATGTATATATACATTGTGCATTATATATTTTCCAGCACATCAGTTGTTCCCTTGAGTCCACCAACACGCTTTGTGCTATTTGGCTCTCTTGGGTGCCGAGTTAAATGGGAAGCTGGCAGTGTGGACTTTAAAAATAAAAGTAAAAATAATGTTCTCGGTTTTAACATTTCGACCGGAAAGGGGTCTGAATAGGAGGAGTAAACTTATAGACAGCTATGTGATGGATACTACATAGGTAGTGATATCAGATGGGAGTAGTCGCCCAATGCTTCAAAAGGACTACGTGGAATTTTAATTTGACTCTAACAATGTATCTTGTGGTTTGAAGTGTTTTCCAAGGTCCTATCATTGTTTATGCATGCGTATGTTCATAGAAATGAGTACAAATTTAACTCTCTCAAGCAATATTCCAGACGTATGAAACATTTCTTGAAGGGCAATAAATCAATGTATGTCAGATCAAAATATGTTTCACTGATTCGAACATGAAAAAACAACTTTTTACAAACTTATTTTTATATTATACTGTAATATTTCTTTCCACTTCTCTTCTGGCAATGCTTTGCTTTGCTTTATCGAAATTTGAAATGAACGGAATGGAAATTCTAGGATAATATCTAGAGGAAGGATATATTGCGAAAATATACATGTATATAAAAATCAAGCACTATTATAGCTAGATCCCATTCAAACGACAAAAAGAATAAGCACAAGTTAAATTGATAAACCAAAAAAGTAAGAAAGAAGCATTTAGCTGAGGTCATCCTAGAATCCATGTACAGTTTATGGGTTGTGGTACGTTGCGTTGCGTAATGAAGTGAGGCAGCCAGTTGTTCTCACTGATGATAGGATTCGTTGTGGGACGAAGGAGTTCTGGTCTATTAAAGGGAAATGAGTCAATGAGACGAAGTAGAAGCTAGGTAGGGAAAATAACATAGTCTAATCGCTAACGCTGAATCAAAAGGCTTTTCTATTTGATCGTTATAAAATATCATTTGTTTCCAAATGCTGCACATCTGGGAGAAGAAACGGCGGTCGAGGGAGACTGCATGTGCATTATCAACACCATATTATTAACTTATTGAAAATATGGAGTCGAGCTTTGTTCCCCTATGGATGTTCATGCGGGGAGGGACAAGAACATATATGCATCGGGTTAGTTATGAAACCGTTGGATTTCGCTTTACAGAGCAGCTTCCATCTTATCCAGGACAGCACGGGTGAATTCATTGGTGGTGGCTTGGCCGCCCATGTCACGAGTGCGGACGACTCTGATGATTTCACAAAAGATGGTTAGCAACGAAAGTCTAGACGAAAAGACGGTAAGGTTCTCCTGGTACCCCTGAGGGCATGGAGAATAAAATAGGGTTCACTTACCCCTCTCCGATCACGTCATAAACTGCCTTTGAGATTCTGTTGGCGTGCTCGTCAAGACCCAAGTGACGCAGGAGCATGGATCCAGAAAGGATCAGTGCGGTGGGATTAGCTTGGTCTTTGCCCTTGATATCGAGTCCAACATGTCTACATCCAGGTTCGAAGACAGCCACTTCACGACCCATGTTACAGCCTGGGACGATACCAGGACCACCAACAAGAGCAGCCCCGACGTTGGAGAGGATGCCACCGTATAGGTTAGGCATAACCATAACATCGAACTGCTGAGGGCGAGAAACTGCCTGCATGGATGCGTTGTCTACGATCATGTCGTTCGCTTCCAGTGTTGGGAAGCTCTCAGCAACCTTGTGGAAGGTCGAGCGGAAGAGACCGTCGGCCAGTTTCATGATGTTAGCCTTGTGAATGCATGTGACCTTCTTGCGGTTATTGGCGAGAGCAAAGCTGAAGGCAAACTTCGCGATCCGTTCTGACTTGGCACGCGTGATGATCTTGAGGGATTCAACGACACCGCTAACGGACTCGTGCTCGAGGCCAGAGTATTCACCTTCGGTATTTTCACGGATAATGCACAGGTCCACATTGTCATGTCGTGTCTTGTAACCGGGGATGTTCTTAATCAAAATAATAGAGGCGTAAATGTCGAGTTCCTGGCGCAGGGCGACGTTGAATGATTGGTGGCCGGATATTTCGACTGGGGTATGGAGGATGCCCTTGAGACCAAGCTTGTTGCGTCTTAGCGAGGCAATGGATTCTTTGAATAGATCTTCTGAGCGTTTATTCCCGAAATCCACTCCGCTGACGTCGACCTGTTCCCATTCAATTGGTACGTTGTCGGCCTTGAAAATTGTTTTCACCGATTCCGCTACCTCAGCGCCGATACCGTCACCTAGAATTAAAGAGGAAATATGTTCGTTAGAATCACAAACTCCTCTTAATAACGCCGTTGAAATTTCGCAATGGGTAAAAGGAGTGTTGAATACCTGGTATCAGTGTGACAGTGTATTTGCCGCCATACTTGGTTGGCTTAAATATATCCGATTGAACGGTAGCAAACGCTGGGTAAATTACTAGTTAGCAGCAGGAGTGGAGTTTGAGGCTAGAAAATAAAAATAGCGTAGTATACTTCTGGTAGCAATTGCAGACCGAGAGAGACACGTAGAAGAATTCTTAGCGACAGTGCAAAAGAGAGACTATGAACGTTAAGCAATGTCAATATAAGAGCGGGGTTGGTGTTGATAATCCGTGTCTTGGGCGGAAGATAAGGGGGGCCTCGATCAATTGAGTTGGAGGGTGAATACATACCTGCGCGGACTGCGCAGTTCTCAGAGAGAACATGGTGGATGTAAATGAATGAAAGTGGCTGAAGCTTAAGCCAATTGAGGGAGCGGGGAGTAATGCAGGTGTGTAGACGGATGAAGTTGAAGTTTAGGACGAGAGATTTTTCTTTTTCGGAACGCGGCTCCGCGGAGGATCTACTTAGTCAGATATTAGGTAATGCGGCATGCCACGGTAAGTTAAGTTAACTAGGTTTGTCAAGGATTCTTTCAACCATGAGGCGTCCATTGTTTATATGCTGGAACGTGAGGAAACCCATATTCTGTGTCCACGGGTGACTCGGCTCCAGGAGTCCAACTAAAACGTCACTGATTGATTCCTCTCTATGGAGCATGCCTTGAAGCTTCATGGGTGGGCCTACATGCAAGCTAAATAATGATGCAGGTCCGATCTGCTTCATTCGAGATTCACCCTGCAAATCATCCTGTCCATGGATATCTATATTCTCCTCCGGCCTTGTCAGTCGGATGTCATTGAATACTCTTTTCAGGCTGTGGAAGTAGCACGCCATCTGGGCGTACACGGTTCTAATCTTAAAGAACTGTCTACTTCGAGTGCTTTTGTGGATCTATCTGATTATGGAACGCATTGACGGAGTCAGCCTTTAAAATAGCATGGACCAAAGTATGGACCAAGCTATGTTGGGTCATATCACTAGGCAAGGCCGTTTTAGATGACTCATATCACTTCCTGTCAAGTTCAAATCAACAGGAGTGATATCATTCTTCTCATTTTGTGACAGCTCTCCAGTTCGCGAGCTCCTATGATAGTTATTGGAGACTGGCGGCTCCCAGCTAGGTCTTCAAAGACTTACATAGTCTTGATAGAAGGGCCATATTTTTCCATCCATCACGATCTAGACGTCAAAATATTCTCCCTTGACAATTCAGCCATTCCACGGTTGGTGTCCCGGGGTATAACCGGCTGACAACCATGGTACTTTGAGTATGCAGTAATTTATCTCCATCAATCCTGAGGGCTGTGCTATGCTTGCGTAGATTTGCTGTTGTTTGATGCGACCTATTGTTCACTTGGATCGCGACCTGTTTTGAAAGAACGAACTGGGTGTGCTGGAACAGATCACGTCCAAATTCTCTAGCTTCCCCTCCGGCTGTTACTTTCATTGAAGAAGCACGGAGGCCCACCAAGACTTCCTGTCGGTTAGCCTGTGATTTCCAGTTGCATTCGGAAATTGGGAGCTTAAATGATCACCAATAGGCTCCTCCATTATTCATTCCAGTACTTTAAATCACAATTAACGCTACAGTACTGTTATCTACAAGAGGCTTCCAAGAAAGCAGGTCTCTATCCAAGATATATCTGCGTAGTTGAAGCTTCTTATTCACCGGTTAGCCCAAGCTGCAGAGACGGATCTAATTTTTTCAGTAATGTCAGAAGTTTATATTTCGCTTTGCACTTTGACCGTTTGTTTAATAATTTTTGATAACAATGATACGCAATTGGGACCCTACAATTTTATCATAAATCCTAAAGTAACTGACTACCCTGAAAATAACTCCTGTCGTATGTTGTAGAGGAAGATCTCCAGAGGAACCCCGTAGAACTGGCAAGTCAGTGGATCACGTGATAGCTACAGGAAGAGGATAAATACATCAATCAATCACTTGCATTTTTCAACTGCTCTGTCCCATCTCAGCCTCCCACTCCCGATATGTACGCCACCTGTGTCAACCCGTCCAGTACTATAGTCGATAGCATTGATCGGGATGCTTTTATCTTCAATTAAGGCCTTTTTCCACCAATAACAATTTATCTTCAGGATCTCTCAATGAATCATGGCCCCTTCAGTTTGCCAAATGGCGAATATCCATCCATACCTATTCATATTCAGGTTGAACCATCATACCGGGACGTCAGGATGATCTTGACAGCCTTTTACCTTCGTTATTTTTTCTGTTTTATAGTTTCTTTCTCTTTTCTCTAACTCTTAGCTCATTTTCTCTGCCGTTGATGAGCTAGCTGCGTGATCTCGTCCCATGAAACATCAAAGGGTTTAAGCTTGTCCATGAGGATCGGATCACTCCAAGCGAGAACCTCCACGTCCACGCGACTGCCATACGCTAGCAAGCGTTCATATTGCATCTTCGCAAACCCATGTTTCTGAATCATCTCCCTGTGGGCAAAGAAGTGGAGTTCGAACATCCTGGATTTGGCCTAGTATTAGGGTTGAACTCTGCCCATTGATACCCCAATGCGGAAGTCTCTCAATAACCCTCGCCTATCTTTCACCATGCGGCCATTGCAACACAAGAGCTGTTTTTATGATATTTCTCATCTTCTTCTTCTATCTTAGAGGTGGGTTGGACCACTGGGTTGTATGTAGAGATACATGCAGGTCAGCCGTTTCCAGAAGCAAAAGCCTCCTCGCGTCCCCATCCTCGTTTAGGAACGCCTGGGGATGGTCGTTTCGTCACGGTTCTGAAGAACATACACATTTTCATCCATCGTTCGTTTCATATTGAGTTTACCCCCGGGTTTACCCCAGGGACATATCTCAAGTGAATACATTGCTCTCAATGGCCCATTGGACCGTTGAATCACGTCTCCACATCTTTTCCGCTGTGTTCGTCTATTCTCTGCGCTTGAAGATATTTACTTTCTTTATTCCCAACACTTCAACACAGACCCTTCAAACATATCTCCATTGTCAGCTTCTAGTTTCCTATCTCAAGGACCTCTTCTATAAAGTCGCTCGCTGCATCCCAGGTTCTCTCATCTTGCTCCTCTTATGCAAGACAGCGATCCGATAAACCCAGACAACTCCACATACCCCACAGACCAACAAACTCTTCCTACCAAAACTTCTGTATCTTAACCCCCATCAACAGACATGAAGTTCGTCGTGGTTTTCCTTGCATTGATGTCCGCTGCCGCGTGGGCCGTTGCCATCCCAGAACCCCAGCCAGCTCCTACCGTTGAGATTCCAAAGAATGCGCGTAAGTGGACATCCACTGCAACATATCCATGCATCTCTGTAGAAAGTGCCAATAAAGCATATTGACTAACCTCCTTTAGCCGTCGAGAAGCGCTGGTGCACTCGCCCTGGTCAGGGTTGCTAGTGGAATTCAACACCACAGCGACCATCGACTGCCATGGCAGTCGATTGTGGGGTCCCAATCTTCGGACTCTTCCATCCTCTCCGCTTCGACCTGGTGCTACGAGCGAGAGGAGAATTCTATCTGCTGTTACGCATCTCGTTTCTAGTGTTCGACTTGTTATCGTTCTTAAATACCGAACTTATGCGGATCGCATATTCGAGATATTCACATCGACTTTTTGCTGGCACATTTTGTTCTTTTGTTGCTTGATCCGTGATTCGTGTTTATCAATATGACGTACGAAGACTCAGCGTTAACTTCGACATGTGTCTCATTAACCGATACGTCTGCGGCACGAAGAGCGCACGCGGAATACAACAATGGCCTCGATATCAATGGAATATTACTGTTCTTCGTTCATGGTAATGCACTTGTACGACAAAGGATCCGCGAATGGAAAAGAAGGAAAAGGCGAACAAGGAGAAAGACCAAGTTGGATCTGCCCCTTTTGACTGCCAAAAGGTCCATATTCCATCATTTGACCGCTCTCTCAAATGGCACTGGGACAAACACACCTGGTCTTTCCAGTTCCGCCCGTCTTTCTCTTGCTTCATCATTGTGCCGTGCTTCCCCTTCAAAATCGAACTCGAAAATGCCCACTTTACCGCTCCGCTTGCTTATATGTATGACTTTAATGTTCCCCAACTGACCTGTGTCAATTTCCTTGAGAGCACCTTGCCATTCTGCGTATTTCCTTTCCTTTTTTTTTTTCAATTACCGGCTGTCTAAATGCTCCATCCCCGCCGTGTATGTGGATTTCTCCATATCTTGTCCATATGCTGCGAGGCACCTATTCCTCAACGCCCTGCCTCTGAAGTCCATACACGCATTTCCGCATGCACATTGGATACCTAACCTACATACATTCTTTAGATCCATTCATATGTTATCATTGAGGCACATGCATAACATCCCATTGGAAAGTTGTCTTTTGCAATGGTGGAATTGTGTTGTGGAGAGGGCATGTTATGTTTATGCTTTATGTGTATGTGTGTGTTCACTATTGTAATGATGTGCTGTACATGATCTTTTTATGCTACCTGTAAATAGATACGTGATTACAATGTGAATGAGTATATACTGATGTTTCCCTCTTCATCCATTTTCTTATTTGACCTTGCAATTGTTTTAAATATAACCTTGTGGTGAGATGATGTGTATGGCCGAAAGCTACAAGAATTTCTTCTTTGTTGGTTTGCTCACCTTGTATAACTAACATACTTTAGATAGCTACACACCTAGGTAGTTATATCTCATCGAATGCTTTTTCCAGACTACGAGAATTGAATACACGTTCATTTTAAATAATAAGGAGCAGATTATGCATATCCAAGTGGAAGGAAGGGGAAAAAAGAGAAAGAAAAGAAAAGAAAGAAAAAAAAGAACCAAGTTGGTTGTGTGCATCATCACGATCATAACTAACATCCTTGTAGTGAAGTGGAAGCTTGATTTAAACCCAAAGTTCCAATCGAACACCCAGAGTAGCCATAAAAGTCAGGTACTTGGGGAAGGTCGAATTCAATCCAATTGTACGTATTGAAATGATATATAAATGATATATAAATGAGAGGGGTGATAAAAATGAAACAGAACATATACCATGAAATCGATAAGGAAAACAATAAGTATCCCACCATTTTCGAATCTCCATTCTTTCAACAAAAACCCAACCAAACAAACAAACAACACTGTAAAACTAACTACAACATCTCTTGGTCATCCAGCAAATGAGCCCGCCTAAGCCCACAACCCATATACATATTGCTGCGCTGCTCAAAAGCGCCATACTGATCCTCCATCGGTTGCAGCAGCAGCTCTGCCTCTGACGGGCCCCCTCCTTGCCCCTGCTGCTGGTGGCCCCACCAGTTATTGCATTTATATACCGAATCAACGGCGGGTTTGTACGGTGACAATGACGCGGGTTGTAACTCTTCCGCCGCAGTAGCTACAGATGCCTGAGACGCATCTGCAAACGCGTGTTCACACGCATCCTTGGCTGATGATGCATCATATTCGCGCTGTGCGAGGGCTTCATAACCCGACATAACATACGGTTCTGCGTGTTGGTTATGTTGATCCATTGCGTCCCTTGTATCCTGCATAATATCTGCCTGTAAAGAAGAGGAAGAAGAAGCAAGAGCCGATGTCGGCCCGCCAGAAGCCTGCAGAGACATCAGATTTCCGGCTTTCGGCTGCGAAAGCTGCCACAGCTCAAGCAGCCGCGTCTTTTGCTCGAGTCCGGCTTGTGCGAACAGAGTTAGTTGTGACGGGAAGAGAGAGGACGGGTCCACATTGTTGAGGAATAGCATTTCTTCCTCTGTCATGCCAGCCTGCTGCATGTCGCACAGAATTGAAGAGAGGGTGGACCAGCCACCCGATGAAGGAATTTGGTGGGCGGAGTGGTGGTAATGCTGGGATATGTTGTAGACTATCGGGCGGGAGGTGGGAGGGGTGGAAGGGGTGGAGGATGGGGACATTTCAGGGGGTCGGGACCTAGCTATAGCTGTTTGAGGGGGGGTTCCTGGTTTTGGATTGTTGATGCTGCTGCTGGCATTGGTATTGAGAATTGCCTGCACGCTCATCTGACGGTCAAAGAGGGCAGCTAGGTCGTCCTGCATTTTGGAATTGCCCTCCGATGCGGATATGCCACACTGGGGGGAAATTGTTAGTGGGGAAAAGGAGTGTGGAAAGGGGGATATGCTGTTATTGTAATATCAACCTGATACAGGGGAAACATAGCAAAAATACTTAAATATAATAGAAAAGGTTACCTGATGGCAGGAAGGATTCTCAGCAAAGGCAGCAAGGAAATTTGAGATCTCTGAATCATGGCCGCAAAATGTACAATGATGCAACACTGAAGAAGACATGTTTTGCTTTCTGTCTTAAGCCCCTTTTTTTGTTTCTCAAGAGAGAAGGGTGCTTAACAGATGGAGGAGTTTTGTTTCTTTTGTCAAGGCACACAGGGATAGGGAGAGGAAGAATGCGGTGGCAGCAAAGTCAATCTGTATCTTGTTTCTTTTGAGACTATGACAACAACTAAGCTAGCTAATTATCGTAAAATATCTAAACTGACGGGTTTCTGTAAAGTCCTCGATTTTCAAGCAATGGAGATAGACAGAGTGTCCGCGACCAGAATCCAGAGGGTGTAAGTGCCGGTCCAGGAGGATTCCAGGAGGATCCAAAGGCAAGCTTTAGAGAAGGTAGTGAATCCAGGGGATCCAAAAAGCCCAAACTGATAGAATAAAGAACAGAAAACAGATAGTTCAAAATCTGAAAGACCTGTTGGGCGATATCTGGCATTTAACGAGAGAAATATGAAGCGTTGAAGTGAAGTTGAAGTTGAGAAAGTGGGGTGAGGTGGGAAAAGTTGTTGAAGAACATTCAAAACTAAGTTAAGGCGGATATTTATGCCCTGTGACGTGTTAGACAGACCAACTGAAACGGCGGACGACCACCGCCCCAGATTCTCTCTGAAAATCATCAATATTCAATGTATTCAACAACCAACACGCTTAAATATTGAAAATATTGATAAATTAAAACTATCTAATAGTTGAATGTATAGCTATTAATTAGGGTGGAGCTCACTGATGAGACATGGCTTCAATCTGAGCTTCAAGCTGCATATCAAGCTGCTAAATACTCTCATGATCTTCCTGTAACTATAGATAGAATAGTATTCTGGCCTTCGCTTAGAATGCCTTCATGTCTTTTTCTTCATCTTCCGCTTATTCCCTGCTTGTAGAATCTTGATTTCTTGATGAGGAAGATTTGTATTTATAGTCATTTGTTCAACCTTTTCATGATGTTGAAGATGAGATATTAACTGTCTCTTCTTATCAAGACTTTTCTGCAAGTGATGAATTTTATGATCAAGTTAATGATTTGAGATGTTTGAAATATTAAAGAAATGATCACATTCAAGTTTAAAACTATATTATAAAGAAAAAAGATTTTCTTCATACTTTATTGATAAAGACTTTTATTTTGATTTTATTTTATATTTTACATTTTGATTATTTTTCTTTTCTTTTTTTAAAGCTTTATTCATTTATCAAAAAATAATTTTTTAATTTTTTTTTTAATGTAAGATTAAGAAATAGTTTTTTAAATTATTTTTAAAATTTAATATTAATTTTTATAATTAAGTTTACTTTTTTATTTCTTAATATATCTGCATAAACAGGTATTTAAGATAAATAAAATTAAATAATTTTATATTTTAATTTAATTTTTTCTACTATATTTTGAATTAATTTAAGATTTATTTATTTACTTTAAATCTTATATTTTATTAAAAAAATTTAATACTGCTTAACTATATAAAAGCATTTAAATATTTTTAATATTATATTCTTGAATGACAATTGTTAGGGTGTGAATGTGAGCTGCATAAGAAGGAACTCTCTGCGTTGCTACTGCTATATAACGATATAACGAAATACTAAGCTTGATCGGATGAAAGGGGGTGCTGGGGCCTGCCTGCCCAGGTTATAACGTCCTGCATGGTCACGTGATGAGGGTTAGGCCTAATTGGGCGCCGAGTCTAATCCGACGTTGAGTCTAATTGGGCGCCGGGCCTCGGTCAGGCTCAATCGGGCGCTGAACCTAACATATACTAAGAAGTGTTTGTAAAGATTTTATTAGTTTATCTTAAAAACTGATCTTAGTTTACTAGATTTTCTTGAAAAATCTCATCTAGTTACTGAACTAGTAGTAAAATCAAAAAGATTTCTATCAAAGCTTGTTAAATCAAATATACAAGAACTATAGATAGAAGTTGAAAAATGGAAAAAATACTCTCTACATCTGAAACAAAGAAAGAGACTAAGAAAAAGACTAATCAAAAACTCTCTGAATAAGAGATTAAAAAAAGAAATAAAAGAGATAAATTGATAAATCAAGCTAAATAGCTTGATAATCTAGAGCTTGTAGTATCTATTTTAAAAAATCAAATA